TTGGTCATATTTTTCTTTTAAGAATTTGGTTTTTACTATTTAAAATATAGATAGCCTATTATTTGAATAGGTAAAGATTTTTTGCCTGTGCAAAAATCTCTCAAGATTTTTGACATAGTTTTTGTTCCATATTTCTTTAGATTAAGTTTTCCCTAAAGAAAATTAGTAAAGGAGATATTTAACTTTACTTCAAGATTAAGGCTATTCATTTTAAAATCACAAATCCCAGCTAGTGTGTCTCTAAATGTAGAAGAGCTTGCTGTCCTTTGCACTATATCCACAGTATGAAGCCCTCGTAAATGGGGAATTATGAAATAAGCATTTCTAAATGGGTCAGGCTTAGTCATCACTGACAACAGTGATTCAAAGCCATTACTCTGTGTTGAAAAGTGAATAAAGTCAAGGGCATTGTATGGAGCTCAAGATTTCATTAACAACATGTTCCTCTGGTTTTTGGTAGACTTTTTTTTTTGTGCAGCTTCATGGATCTGAAGTTATCACTTTTTAAAATAAGGAACAAAAATGATTTTTAACCTATTGCTTTTGACTATTGCTTTTCCAGTAAAGCTTTCACATTGCAAACTATTTAAAATAAAATGTAACATTGAATCATGTTTTCCAACTTTGTAGATTATTGATTATTTGGTTTTAAAAGCTGAAACTCAAGGAAAATAACTCTACAAATATATTTTGTTTTAAAAAAAGGCAAATGATTTTATTGCCATATTTAACTGAAAATTTTATAGGAATACTTTGTTAAACTAGAGAACATTTTCTGCAGTAATTTTATTTATGAAAGACATAACAGTATTATTACTTTCACTGTCAGTATAAATCTGAGTTCATCAAGAGAAACAGGGTTAGTAATTCAAAATCAACTAATAAAAGTAGGTTAGTAGGTCATGTTTCATAGCTGTCCTGGTAATCAGTCATTTTAACAGGCATTTCAAAAAGGAGTCATTACCAAAAATAAAAATTTCTTAGTTTTTTCAGCAAAAGGAAAATTTGAACACAAAGATATTTCTTATAAAGAACAGGAAACTGTTTCAAGCTACTAAATTTTGATTTCTTTGTTTATGGCATGTCCTTCTACGTTAATTTACAATCTATGAAAACGACATATTTTAAGATTGAAAATTAAGAATTTAAAATTAAGTAGTTTTGTTTAATTTGATTTACTGGTTCTAGAAAGAAAATGCTCTGAAGTGATTTTTTTAAAAAAGATTATCATTAATTGAAGGAATATACAGTATTGCCAATTACCCTAACATCATAAAATAGAATACTTGCCAGAGGAAATAGAAAAAACTATAGTAGTTAATGGAACTAATATTCAAAATGCCATAGGATAGTGCTATACTGCCAGCAATCCCACCAATCAAGTGCCAACAGAAATAGGGCAACTCTTTATAAACAAGGTATTAAGAAGGCTTTAGGAAAACAGACTCACTGACATCAACGAGGTTTTTCAGTCAAGCACTATGCAGCCAATCCAGAACAGGGAACAGTGCAAGAGAACAAACTTGGGCCACACAATTATATGTACAATGCAGCTAAGTGCTTGCAACTACTACCGGTCATATCATCTCTGAGCACACCAGCACCCACCACCATGTCTTCTAGATGGTGGTGTTCATTAAAGTTATTACAAAAATAGACATTAAAATAGAGGACAGGATGTCTGACTTTTACAGCTCCCAGTACACACTCCTTGTTTGAGTAAAATGATAAATAATAGCACTTGCAGGGAGAATGGCATCTTCAGATCCTTCACGAGCATTTGTATTTGAATTTTACAAAAATGGGATGAGGTGTGCAGAGCATATACTAATGAAAATTTATGTGAAATCCACTTGTCTGAATACACGAATATATGGCACTCAGAGTGATGTGGGCACTGAGTTGGGCTTTGAGAAAAAATCCATTCTTTTGAGAATGCAGAACATTTTGTGTCAAGGGAAATATTTCCTGCCAGAAGATCTTGTGTATGAAGAAATATTTTCTTCCCACAATGATGATCTTCAGCAGGATATATTCAGTTTGGACTGAATCATAGTCAGAGTATACTTAAGATTCCCAAATCCTTGTCAAGCATTGTTGCCCATATATTTAATAAAGTTTTTAGAGAAAACTTTGATATTAATTTTTCTTTATCAACATTTATCACTCATTGTTACCTTTAGGGAACTTTTCAAATTTTTCAAAGGACCCTTCACACCATTTACTGTTAAATGAAGTATATTGCACCGAGAGTGAATTGCTATTGAGTCATGTCCTAAGTGTGTGTTGTTACTTTTAGTGGGATAATTATACAGGTGCTTCAGAGGAGAACCCTGTCAAACTCTTATTGTATTGACACATTTCCCTTTCAAACAGATTTCATTTTCAATCTAGAAAAATTTACTAACATTAAACTTGTATATATACATATATATGTTTTTAACAATCAGTGGTGGTAATGTGCAAATACTTCATTGACCCCTGAGCATAAGACTCCCATTGCACTTGTTAGAATTACTTAACTAGAAAACTGCTAGAAACTGAATTAATACTTCACAACATTGCTTATAGCACATTCATAGCATTCCTAGTATTTTTATTAATTGCTTTCAGGTTGGAGTTAAAGCATTATTTAATTATAAAAGGTAATAAATTTGAGCAAAAGAGCCTTTTCACAAATTCAAATTCCTCTCAATTCTGGAAGGCATACAAAACCTATTTTCACACAGCCTAGATTTAATTCAGAATACTTTTTGGTATTATTCTGTAGAAATATGTCGAGAATCATAATTATTATATTCCTGAATTAAGCAGAAAAAAATCTCCAAATAGCTTTTAAATCAAATGCTTTGGAGTCAAAACTTTGGTGTGCATCATCTTTTAAAGTAGAAACAAATGATGTAAGACGTATCCCAATAGAGTTCTGTGATTGAATGACGCAAGATAACCTCCTTCAGCTTTGCTTTGTCTGACTCAGGTCAAGTCACACACATTCTTTTAAACAGAGATCAGGGCATGTTAAATGGTTTTGGGGCACACTACTTAATTTTGTGCTATTTTATGGTAAAAGACTGTGAACTTAGCCTCTCACATTTCCCCCGCTGCTCTAGCCAGTCTTCTCCTCAGCAGATCCCCAGCAAGTCCCCAACCCTTAAATACTGGAGTGCTCTGCAGCTCAGTCCCAGGAGCACTTCTCTCTGTCTGCGCTCATTCTCTTGGGGTGCCTTCCCGTCTCCTGGCTTTAAGCACAGTCTCCTGAGTGATTGACTACCAGTTCTTTATCTCCAGCCCTGAAGATACAGTTCACTTGAACTGCAGATGTTTATATCCAACTCTCTACTCGACTTGTCTTTGATTTTAATAGTCATCTCATACTTATGACCACAGTGAATTCTAGATCTTCTCCTCTAAAACTCGTCTTCCTACCTCAGTGAATAGCAATTTCATGTTTTCAGTTGCTCAGGCTCAAAACTTTGGAATCATCCCCGATTCCGCTATCCTCTTTCACATTCTATTTTCCATCTGTCAGCAGAAGATGGGATGTAGATTTCTGAAGACTTCTCCATGACCTGACCACCACTATCTGGGTCCAAGGCGGCACCATCTCTCACCTGGAGTGTACAGCAGCTTCCTAGCTGGCTTGGCCACCTCCACCTCACCCCCTACAGCATCTTCTTAATACACAGCCAGAGGAATCCTGTTAAAATGTCAGCTCATGCCACACATCTGCTCAAAACCCTCCAAAGGCTTCCTCTCACGCTGAGTAAAAGCCAAAGAAGTCCTTAGAAGAACCTATGTCACCTCCCAAAATTTGACCTCCTCCCCTGCTCTTTGACTTTGTCTTCTGCTACTTCCTTCCTCCTTCCCTCTGCCCTAGTCATACAGGTCTCCTCCCGGCTGTTCTTCCTGCCCAATCCTACCTTGGGGCCTTTGTAGTCACTGCTCCCACTATCTGGAATGCTCTTTCCCTAGACATCTGTGAGGGTCACTCCCTTTCCTCCTTCAGGGCTTTACTCAAAGAATGCCTGCTTTATTTTCTCCTTAGAACTAACTGCTGTTTTGCTTATATGTCTCTCCCCTTAGAAGGTAAGCTCCAGGCAAGTAGGGATTTTGTCTGTTTTGTTCATGCTGTATCCCGAATACTTAGAGTTGTGCCTAACATGGTGGTTACTCAATGCATAATTATAGAGGGGATGAATAAATGAATGTTCTATCATCTACCAAAATTGTTCCAGTAGGCAGAGGATAGGTAGGGAGATAGATAGATCAATAGGTAGATAAATTGATTGATTGGTAGACAGATAATAGCACCTATGGATAGGTTGATATAACCTGTCACCACCACTACCCCCCTTACCCCCATCTAGGAAAAGCAGCACAAGTACCAATATAGAATTACAGATAGAACTCTCCTATTTTAGGCTAAAGACAGCATGTAATCATTATACATTTTCCATTTCTGTGAAATTAAGTATTAAATAACACCTTTCATTTGAACATCTTAAAAATGTGTCACCAAGAAAAGAGTACTGTAATTACACGGATTCATACATCACTGTTATACATTAGGTAGCAATGGAAGGCTTAATGGATTCAAGATCTCACTGGCTCTTGACACATTTGTATTGAAACATAAAAATGCGAGATAAGCCCAAGCAGCAGTTTGACATTTACAATATGTCGTTGAAGGCTTGGAAAGTCTATCATTGCCTGGCTTATTAGCATAAGAAAAAAAGTGGGATGATGGGTAGACTATGAGCACAATTTCACGGTCACCTGGGGCCAGTCACTTACCTCACTTCACTTCACTTGGTTCTTTCTGTCTCTGTGGTCATATCATGGTTGAACAGACTACTGAGGGAAGGTACTGAGAAAAAAGTGAGCCTCACTCTTGGTGGTTAACCAAAAGTGTTTTCCTGAGGTCACAATGCGAGTGACACGTATGCTCTGTGTTGACCACACTTAGAATGTAAATGCAAGTGTTTTTTATGAGACTGAGCCTTCACACATTTCCCAGATGTTCAGCGTGTGTCTTGGATGCCCTGGTCTCTTACTGCCATGCCCCTCAGCATCTTAAATCCCCTCCCCTTCTGACGTCCAGAGCCACTGCACTTCTTCCTTTCAAAACCAGCACCAGGAGAACCTCTGTTCACAGCTTACACAGGCTGCTTCTTCCAAGGTTGTTATTTGTCTTTTTGGAGAGGGCAAAACGAATGAAGTCCCCATGTTTAAATTTTGGGAATCAACAAGCTAGGTTCAGCCTCTGTGTTTTGGGGTCAGGATTTTGACTGCTGATGCCCTGGAGATAAAGGTGAGTATGATAGATACTCATGCAACCCATGCAGCTTCAGCATATAATTTCTCTACTTATTAAAATGAACTCTGCTCCACGGGTCTAGAGGCTGAAAGAAGCTCCAACAGGCCTTAATCATGTTCACAGACTCCTAGAGGACCTTAGAAGTAATTTAGTCTAACCCCCTCATTTTATACATGAGGAAATTGAGGTTCCAAAAGGTCATCTGCTGATCTGTGAGCTTCTCGGTACAGATTCCATGTCTTAATTTTCGTGTGTACGTGGAAATGCCCAGACTGCCTTTCTTGAAAAAGATCCTGTAACTCATTTTGCACTTCTGCTTGGTCTGGAGTAGTAATATTTGACTGAGCTTCTTGGTCAGGATGCTCTAAAAATGCTCATGTTTTAGGAATATAGGTAATATAGAATACTTAAGAAGTTTTTAAGTTGGGTCCAGAGGAACTAACTTGTCTCTGCCTCTAAACTGGAGTAGCCGCATGACCACAGGCACCAAAGTGGTAAAACGGCATTCTCTGCTTAACCAAAGAGAAAGCATCATGGTGTGGAGAGGACTCTAGTTGGGAGAAGGCAGGTGTTAGTTTTAGCCCTAGACTTTGTCACAATTCAGACATTTCACTTTCGTCAAGTACTTTATCTCTTTGTGAAATAGACACCTTCCTAGTGAGTAACAAAACTTACTATTATCCCCTAGAACAGGACAGATATATGAGCAAAGGACATGGGTAATAATTTTGCTTTATAGATGAAATGCCTCTCTGGTTCCGTGTCTCCTCGTCTATCAGAGGCATGGAGAAACCGCCTGGAAAGGCTGAGGGCCAACACTTGTGCTGTCTTAACTCTTTCTAGTTATTTCTGTGGTCAGAAAATGGACAATAGAGCAGGGACCAAGAAAAATTCCTCCACCACCCAGTTACAGAGGAGGACAAAAATTCCACACTTGGCAAACTGTAGAACCCTGCCTCCCTAGCAAGTGAGATACTTCCAGAGGGCAGGCGTGTGAACAGGGCATGGCCAACCTGAGTTCTTCCCTCAGACTGAGCCACAGATCTTGGGAATTAAAGTCATTTTCTCTTGGAATTAAGAAGCTGGGATGATGCAAACTTAAAATTACCAGTGGCTACTTCCCTTAGGCCCATAGTAAAAGCCCATTTATAGGAGGGGAGAAATGGCCAACACAGAAATATGCACAGCTGAGAAAAAGACGGTCTTCCTGTGCTGCCGTTTAAGTTCCTGGATCCAGCCCTGACTGAAGATGTTTAGTTGAAAAATTCTCATTTTTGCCTGAATTAGTTTTAGCTGGGTTCCTGTCACTTTTGTTTAAAAGAATTCCAAGTAATAACACATCTTCTCATTCTTCAAATGTGGAAAGTGAGGCTCATATGAAGAGAGTGACTGATTCAAGGTTATACAGCTTGTTGGAAACAAAATCTTGATTTGAAGTTGAGTCTACTGTTTTGTTCCAATGCATTTGCTACTACACTGAGCTTTATATACTCTGTCTTGGGAATTAACCTGCATTTTCTAAATACAGTCCTCTTCTCCTGCCATTCTACATCATGGGAAATCCATTCATTTAAGCAAAAGATAGAGGACCATTTCTTAAGGATTCTAAAATATGCGAAGAGAGCTTAGATTAGTTGATTTGTGTCTAGGTAAGTTCAAACAAAAGATTCAATCATGTTAGCTTCAAAGGTAGAAACCGTGGTTTCATTCTTTTTTTTTTTAATCTGCCATGAAACATCTACTATGTCATAGGCATAGCAACAGGGCTTTTCTTGTGTTCATAAATAGTTCTTATGCTAGTCTTCCTGCATAATGGAAACACAATAGATTGAAGGAAAGATGAAAGAAAGGAAAGGAAAAATAGAGGAAAGACAAAGAAAAGAAGGAAGAAAAGTAGAGTAGGTTTCAGGTAAAAATGGTTTTTCCTGTTGTTCAACAGAGCTTACATTTAATAACCAGTATCTTATAGTGATCTGAAAATATGTCTGCAAGACCTAGCCCACTATAAAACTGCCTTTCCTAAATTGAACAGAAGAAACTGTGAGAAGAGAAACCTCAAGACAGAGCCTCAGACCACAAGGCCATCATAGTAGGGCTGAAGATTAGGAGCAAATAAGGTAACAGAAGATGGTGACACTCGATAAATGCCCTCACTGTAGTTCTGTGAACTGGTCATGACGAGGCTCAGTCATTAGTAATATTCATTTACATGGGCTATATATTAAATTGCACAGAAGTAAGCAGTTCCTGGATTTGGTAACACTGTGAATAATGTTTTAGTAAACTTGAACACTTGATGATGAATAGATTTTAAGATGATTCTAACTATCGTTTAGTGTGTGTTATATCATTCTTTGTGATCAGATTTTACTTAAACCACAAACAGGATGCAGGCAAATGGTGATGAAAAGTTTCAGAGTCAGAAGAAAAGATGACTGTCAAAAGAATGTGCTTTGCATGACTTCGTAAAAGCATTCAACCACTTGAAAACTTGCTATTTTCTAGTTTCAAATTCAGTTTTGAAAGGCAACACTCTACATGATTCCTTAGCGTCATAATCACACAACCGAATGGTGTCTTTTCTCATGCTGTATTTAGTTAAAATTTAGACAGCGTGAAAAAGGAAAGGGAGGAATGCTTTATTATCACCCTAATTGAATTAACCAAATAGAATATGCTATGTGAATTTAGATATTAAAATAGGGGTTTCAGACTGGGTGTGGTGGCTCACGCCTATAATTCCAGCACTTTGGGAGGTGGAGGTAGAAGGATCACTTGAGCCCAGGAGTTTGAAACCAGCCTTGGCCACACAGGGAGACCCCATCTCTACAAAAAAATTAAAAGTTAGTTGGGCACAGTGGCATGCACTTGTGGTCCCAGCTACAGGAGGCTGAGGCAGGAGGATCGTTTGAGCCTGGGAGGTTTAGGCTGCAGTGAGCTGAGATCATGACACTGTACTCCAGCCTGGGCAATAGAGTGAGACCCTGGGAACAAAGTGAAAAAAAACACATTTTCTTCAGGTAAGGAATCTTTAGTTTAACATATGGTCATCTAGACGATCCAGTTTTAGTTATAAATGGGTTTTATTGATGTTTTCATCAATAGTATTTTTATTCCAAGCATAGAATATTATAGTAACTATTTTTGAACTTTTGAAATATTTAGAAAACTGAAATATGAAATCTGTTAAGTTGCACTCACTGCACTGACATTGCAATTTATTGCTGAAAACTGGATACCATGAGTGGCTGATTCACTGTCCAGCAAATTGTTAATGATTTCTTATGTCTATTCTTCTGTATGTGTCTCTAGGTCCACGTCACTGTCTTTCTGAGAAATACTTAAGCCTTGGATTCAGGTTAGCAACAACTCAACAGTCTTTTTATGAGACACCAACAATAACACCACATGAAATTTTCACCATTGATTATTTAAGTCAAGTGTTCATTCCACAAATATGTGCCATTCATGGTTTAAGATCCTGAAAATAGAGGTGGACCAGACAGAAATGGTCCCTGCTTTTGAAATTTTTATTCTTCTGAAAGAAAAAGAGGGAGAAACAAAAAATACACAAATGAATAGATGATTTTAGAGGTTGATAAACATCAAGAAAAAAGCATGTAATATGACAGAAGATGTGGGAGGTGATGATATGAATGGGATCAGTTAGGACAATCCTTACTGAGGACGTGATATTTGAGCCCAAACCTAGATGACAAGGAGCCAGCCTGTGTATTCCAGTCTGGCAAAACAGAAAAAGCAAAAGCAATTGCCTGGCGTCATGTGGGAGGAAAGAGGGTGATAGGGAAAATGGTGAGGCTAGAGAAGGAAGCAGGGTCACAGCGTGCAGGGCACCACAGGCCATGGTGGAAAGCTGAAATACGGTTCTAAGAGTGTTGGGAAGACATTGAGGGTATTCAGCAGGGCAGTGAGATCTGATTTATGTCTTTAGATCCCTCTGACTGCTGGTGGATACTAGATCATAGGGTGCAAGCAGAGGGGTGAGGAGGGCTGCTGGCTGTGTTTTGGTAGGTTGGAGTCCACACAACCTCCCCAGGCAAAGTGGATGTGTGGGGATTGAGATCCAAACCCTCGCCTGTTCACCAAGCTCCATGTCCGTGAAAGGGCTGTCTTTTTTTATTGCAGACACAGCACCGTATGGAAGCTGCCTCAGAGATTGAAACAGGGAAGAGGAATCTTTGCAAGGATAATAGGGATGGTGGAGAAAAGAGAGAGGTGGGTGGGTTTAGGATGTGTCTGGAGGTAGAGCTGGCAAGACATACTGACGGATGAGATGTGCGGGGTGATGGGAAAGGAGGCATCAACCTGGAGACTTAAACTCATGGGAGGATATGCTGCCACTGACTAAGGCAGGGAAAACTAAGAGCGGACTGGTTTTGTTTTTGTTTTTTAGTAGGGAGGGAGGGAAGAAGAATGTAGTGTAAGCTAAGTTTGATCTAAGTTTAATGTTAGATGTCAATAATGAGATTTATGAGTTGAGGAGATTTGTGACAGGATATAATTTTTTTGCACTTCTGTAATGCAGACAGCATGTGATTTCATTGCACTTCTGCATTACAGAAGTGCAATAGAATTATATCGTCCTCTCAGATCCTCCTCATGGCTGCTGACCTGCTGTGGGATGGGGCGGACTGGAGGAGGAAAATAGAGTTAGTTAAGTCTGGGATTCTTCTCCTGAGCATTGAAACAGATGCAATCTCTCAGATGTTCAGCCCATAACTCCTCTTCCTCCAGATGCCAGGAGTCCATGGTGCCCTCCAGCAGATCCCGGAAAGAGTCTTTGTGAATTTTAGTGTCTTCTGCCTCCTCTGAACTCCACAGTCATGCACCTTATTTGCAAAGTCCTGGTCATCACTGGCCCCGATGGCATTCACTGTTGAAGTTGGCAGTAGTATGGCTTGGTGAGGGCTTGGTGGATGCTCTGGGACTCCCTGGCTCCGTGTTGGATGGCCCTGTGCACCCCTCTAGCTGTCTGCCATATTCTCCACCCAGCTCCTGGTTCAATGGCTTACTGTGCCCCTCTTGGCCACAGGCCCTGTGAATGTCCACTAGTTTTCCACCTAGCTATGGTCCACTCACACTTTGGCAATGTGTGGGAATTTCTGCATCCCATCCTCACCGCAGGGGAACTTAAGGTAGCTTAGCCACAATCCAGCCCTGTCTCTGCCTGACCATGCTGTGCCACTGATTGTACTCTGACATGTTTGCCTGCCACCTCCTCCCCACTGCCTAGGTTGGTGACATAAGGCCAGACGAATGATGATCTCCTCCCAGAACTCCTAAAATGCGCAGAAAGTCTCCTTTCAGCATTCCCCTGAAGAGCTGCAACCCATTTTCTACTGCTTGGTCAGAAGTTCAGAGAAAGGACATCAGCACCCGCATGTCTGCCTCTAATCCCTTGGTACCAGATGATCTGGGCTTCCAACTTTTACTCCTCCTGGTTCATTCTTCTCCTGCCTGGGGGCAGCAAGACCACAGCCCAACCATCAGAGTCAGACACTCATTTCTTCCTTAGAAGGATATCGAGGATGAGTTGAAATGAAAAAAAAAAAAAATCCTCATAATTTATCTAAGAAGACCATTGTTCACAAAATTTCAAGTGTATGAAGGAATGTAAAAATTATTTTCAGTCTCACAGCTACATCTTGATTGCTGAGGAGACTGGAGAAACGGTGATCTGATTATTGATAAGGGGAAGAAAATCTGTTCATATGTAAACATGTCACACTGGTACTGTGATTTTGTAGCTCAGGGAAACTATCAATGCGGATATCATTTGAGTCATCAGCACGTGGATGAGTAAAGCCATGGACTGAATGGGAACATCTAGTTCACGGTAGAGAACAGCAGGAAGCTCAGGACTGAGTCCTGGGGCAATCCAGTAGGTAGAGGTTGAAAAAAGTGAAGGAGGCCCACAGAAGCCTGAGAGGGAGCAGTTCATGAGATAGGGCGAGAGTTATTAGCAAGGGGTGTCCATGGGGCCAGGAGACTAGCAGGTTTCCCGAGGGAGAAAATGCTCACCGAATCAATTGCATCTAGGACGCCAAGCCTGTAGAAGAATCCTAACCCACATTCTGATCCTAATTCTGATGGTGACACTGACCCAGACGTTCATTCTTTCCTTAGAAGGATACCAAAAATGAGTTGACATGAAAAAAAAAACCCTAATAATGTATCTAAGAGGACCGTCGATCACAAAACTTTGTAAAATCGTGTCACCATTTTTAATTACGATACTCCATTTAGCAAATGCAGGGCTCTTGGAGCCAAACTGGAGCCCCACCAGGATGACTGAAGTAATGAACGCGGGCACTGGAGTCCCCGCACTGTGCTGAGAAGTTTTGGAGGTGCTGTACAAGATCCTCAGTCTGCCTCTTATGAAGTAGCATGAGGAGCAGAATGACAGTTTCCTTCTTTGTTTTGCTTATCTTCTTCTGAAATCAACTTGGAAAACACGTTTGTCGTTCATCCTGTCGGGCAGATGCATGGTTTTATGGCGAGGCTTCTGCTGGGTCCAGTGCTTGGTGTCCCAGGCATTCTGGCAATGGCAGGAGCATAATCAGAGGTAGAGTTGTCTTTTCCTCCAAGAGGAGCAGTGAGGTGTGTGGGGTGTGTGTGGTGCCCACATCCTGCTGCCTCTCCCTGCCATTACTCTGAGTTTGTGGTGCCCACCACCCCTACCCTGACCTCCACTCTCAACAGTGACATCCCTATAGCCATCATAGGAATGTTATTCATTTTTATTCCACTCCATGTTATGCATTTCATCAAACTGGGCTTATCTAGACCGAGGAGAGAATAATTAGAAAATAGTGTTTGAATTCAGAGTTTGAATTATCTGTTTACTTTAATGGTCAACCTGGGAGCCAGGAATGAGGTAAGACAAAGAAGTTGGGATGAATCCTAGCTCTGCTTCTCACTAGCTCAGTGAGCTTAGAGTAATCCAGTGGGCTGGGTGGTGGGTGGGTAGTCAGAGCCTTCCCTCTAACTTGGACTGAGGTTTTAAAACCCATTACAAGTAGTGAAGGAAGAACAGAGTTTGTCATGACTGTGGAGAGAAGGAGTGAGTCAAGGACCGAGGAGAGAGTTGCCATGAAGCACTCCATCCAAGGGAGCAGGATGGAGAGGTGGAAACAGACAGAGGCCAATAGTTTGCATTTGGGGCCAACTCCAGAGAGAGGTAGCAGATGTGAGGGGTGCATGGGAAGTGGAAGCTACCACTGTCCCTGAAGTGCTGAAGCACAGAGCCCTGTCCCCTTTGAGATGGAGACTGTAATTGGATGAGTCAAGCAATAGGGGGAATGCCAGGGAGCACTAGGGTACTGGGATGCTTAGACATTGAAAAGTTACTTAAGTCCTCTCTACCATTGTTTCCTCATCCACAAATTTCAGGTACTAATATCCTCATAGAATCGGTATGAGGTTTAAGATAATCCTATAAAATATCTAAGTCTAGAGCTGGCTCATAAGAAACGTTAAAACAACTCTCATTGAGCAACAATTGACTGAATGTTTTCACCTGAGCTCCTTCCATAGTTTCAGACTCAGCGTATTAAAAATCAAGATCACAGTACCAGGACTAAGGTAGTGTTCCAAGCCTTGTTCTATGCACATTATTCCCCAATATCTCACAGAAACAACCCAACCCATACCAGATGAAAAACTACGTATCTCTGTGGACTGGAATAGACAGGTCTTCTCCCTACCTGTATGGGCAGACTTGTAAGGTGGCCCCCAAGGACCCACATCTCCTAGCATTCATATTATTGTACAACCCTTCCCCTGAAGTGTGAGGTGGACTAGTGATAGGAGGCCGCTTCAGCAACATGGTTATAAAAGATTCCAACTTCTCTCTTGCTTCCAGATGTCTCTATCGCCTTCCCAGCATGCACACTTTGATGAAGCCAGCTGACATATTAGAGTTTATGTGACAAGGGAGCTTTCAGCCCACAGCCAGGGAGAAACCAAGATCCTCAGCACAGCAACCCAGGAGGAAAGGAAACCTGCCAAAGCATTGTGGGCTTGCAAGCAAAGCTTTCCCCCAATAGAGCCCTTAGAGGAGTCCACCCTGCCTTTGTCAACACCTTAACTGCAGCCTTTTGGGAGACCCTGAAGCAGAGGACCACGTAAGCCATGCTTAATTCCTGGACACAAACTACTGTGCAATAATAGATGCATGCTGTTTTAAGCTGCTGTGTTTTGGAATCGTTTGTAATGCAGTAATAAGTAATGAATCTATCAACCCTGTTATTTTAGGAAGTTTTAGTCTGGGATGCACAGTCAGGAAGAGAATCAGGGGAGGACTGGTTAGCCATACATGATAACAGGTAGGTCACCATATCATATTTGTTATATGGCATCACTAAAGCAAGAGGAGGTTGTTATGGAAAGGAAGCAATAGTGGAGCAATTCCTAAAGATAAAAGGTAGCACAGTACAACTGAAAATACCTCAAGAGTAGCAGTAAGCATGCCCTAGCTGCCATTTTGATTTGTAATAAAATAGTTCCAACAAAAGGAACCTGGACTTTTTGGAGAAACAACTGCTTCTAGGACTGGGGCAGAAAATACACAAGATGTGTCTGGGTGTCTTGTAGTGCCAGAAAGTAATGTGTTAAAAAAAAATCCCCAAAGCCACATTGAAGGGACCAAAGGGAACACAGGAGCCAACTCAAAGGGACTCCAGTGGCCAGCACAGGAACAGTTTGAGCAACAAAATAAAGCAGTATTGGATTATAACCCACAGTGTAAAACAAATATCCATGAGCAGTTAATGATATAAATGATAAAATAAATGGGGGAGATAAATAGCCCATGCAGAAGAATTCCAAATAGGTGTGTGGATACTCAGCTCTCAAGGGAGTGGATCGTACCTCCCCTCCATTTAAATGTGGGCTGTGGATAGAGACTTCGTTCCAAAGACTGCATTGTGGAAAGGAGAGGAAAGATGAACTTCACTGTGGAGAAACCTGACAAACACGACCTCGGCCAGAGGATCAACGTCACATCACCAGGGATTTTTTTTTTTTTTGAGATGGAGTCTTGCTCTGTCTCCCAGGCTACAGTACAGTGGCACGATCTCAGCTCACTGGCAAGCTCTGCCTCCCGGGTTCAAGCAATTCTCCTGCCTCAGCCTCCCAAGTAGCTGGGATTACAGGCCCCTGCCACCACACTCAGCTAATTTTTGTATTTTTAGTAGATACGGGGTTTCACCATGTTGGCCAGGCTGGTCTTGAACTCCTTACCTCCTGAGTTGCCCGCCTTGGCCTTCCAAAGTGCTGGGATTACAGGCGTGAGCCACCATGCCCAGTTATCAACAGTGATAAATTATGTGAATAGTATATACCTTTGATACGATATTACATAAATAGCACTTTACTTCTGTGGTCTTTCTCCCAAAATACATAACTCTAGTTTAATTCTGAGAAAAACATCAGGCAAATTCCAACAAAGGGATATTCTACAAAATTTCTGACCAGTGTGCCTTGAATCTATCAAGGTCATCAAAAACAAGGAATGCCTAAGACAGGGCCTCAGGCTGGGGTATAGTGTCACGATCTTGGCTCACTGCAATCTCTGCCTCCCAGGTTCAAGTGATTCTTCTGCCTCAGCCTCCAAAGTAGCTGGGATTACAGACAAGTGCCACCACACCCAGATGATTTTTGCATTTTTGTAGAGATGGGGTTTCGCCATGTTGGCCAGCCTGGTCTCAAACTCCTGACCTCAGGTGATCCGCCCACCTCAGCCTCCCAAAGTACTGGAATTACAGGTGTGAAGCATTGCGCCTGGCCCTAGAGTCTAAGAAATCATCATGGCCAAGAGGAGCTTAAAGAGACATGATGACTAAATGTAATATGTTGTCCTATATAGGATCCTGGAACAGAAAAATTACTGGCTGTCATCCAGTAATAGCTATGTGGTCCTGGGCAAGTTACTTGACACTAGGTAAAGCTAAAAAAATCTGAATAAGGTATGGACTTCAGTTAATAATCATATCCCAATGTTGGTTCATTAAATAGAACAAATGTACCCTTCCGACTAAGATAGTACTAGTAGTAAAAACTGGACTTGGGGTATGTGAAAACTCTCTGTACTGTCTTTACAATTTTTTGGTAAATCTGAAGTTGTTCTAAAATAAAAATTTAATTAAGTAACAAAAAAGAAGATGGAGAGATGCTGAGGACTGGGGAAGAGTGTGGAGAAGAACAGCTGGAACCAGATGCCTGGTTTTAGGTCTGCCAGTGGTTGCCAGACCTTGAACAAAGAGAAGTTGAATGGTTGTATCTGGGGTAGAAGAGTTTTCATGGAAACTAGAACTTAAATGGAATTTTTATTAATTTAATTTTAGTGGGAAATTCAAAGGCCACTTTATGAGACTTCGTCATTCATATAACATCTTTCTTTCCCAGGGCTTCATGTGCTTGTTATGTGCTTTTTGAAATGCATATTTACATTTTTAAAGTATTTAAAAATATATATATTTTTTACTTTTTGCTTGAAAACTTTATTAAAATAAGGATTAAACCTGAAAAAAGAGTGATGAGAATGCTAGCCCTTTGCATAAAATCAGCAAGAAAAAGGAAACAGGGAGAGAAAGAGAGGAAAGGAAGGAAGAGAGGAAGGGAGGGAGGGAGGAAGGGAGGGAGGGAAGGGAGGGGAGGGTAAAATATTCATTTTTTTAAAAAGGAAGAAAAACCTCAATAGAGTTTGTTAAACAGCAAATAGGAATCTTGGGATATTTGAACTGGAAATGAAGACACCCAATCCAAATATTCCCCCAGATGCCAGTACTAAAAAGAATAATGATAAGACAGTTAAGAGAAAACAAACAAATAAACAAACACATGAAAAATAGGTTTAGGAGATTTTGACACACATACGTTAGGAATTATACTAGGAGAAAAAAAGAAGATTGGAGAGCAAAGAACTAACAGAAAAAAATTTACTGAGTTGGAGGATATCATCTTAAGATCTAATGAGCCAACTGCATGCTTGTCAGGAGGAATCAAAGAACAGCCACAACTAGACATACCCTGGTGAACTTTCTGAATTCAAGGATAAATATCATGCATCTGTGATATTATAGACCACTAAGGCTGTAATTACAGTCTTAATTCTGAAATTCCAGACTATTAAGGAATTAATGAGAATGAGCAAACTACTTAACAAAGTCTACGCAATGCTGTCCATGCTGTGTTCAGAAGATGGCTCCTTATCTAGCAAAACTATGTGATCCTGAGCAAGTTACTAGACTTCTTAAAGCTTCAAATTCCTCATTTAAAAATAATATTCATGGCCGGGCGCGGTGGCTCAAGCCTGTAATCCCAGCACTTTGGGAGGCCGAGGCAGGTGGATCACGAGGTCAAGAGATCGAGACCATCCCGGTCAACATGGTGAAATCCTGTCTCTACTAAAAATACAAAAAATTAGCTGGGCATGGTGGCGCGTGCCTGTAATCCCAGCTACTCGGGAGGCTGAGGCAGGAGAAGTGCCTGAACCCAGGAGGCGGAGGTTGCGGTGAGCCGAGATCGTGCCATTGCACTCCAGCCTGGGTAACAACAGCGAAACTCCGTCTCAATAATAATAATAATAATAATAATAATAATAATATTCATTTGGTGCAAAAGTAATTGTGGTTTTTGCCATTACCTTTAATGGCAAGAACAGCGATTATTTTTGCACCAATCCGATGGTATCAACTACTTCCACTGTACATGGGTCAGACACTGCTCTAGGGGCTTTCTAGGTACTAATTAATTTATCCTCCACCAGAGCCCATAGTGTGGCTTATATAGTTATCCTGTTTTACAGATGAGAAGACCAAAACATAGAGAAGTCATTTGCATAAGATTACAGAATGGTAAGTGGCAGAGACTGTCTGCTTTGAGTCTGCACTCATAACTACTTTGCTATAAATACCTCTTATATGGCCTTGGGTAGTAGTATGAGGATTCATTGAGATAATGCATTTTAAATGCGTAGCATGGTGCCTACCATACAATGTATTCAATAGTTGCAGCTACTAAACTGTTAGGCAAATATTCAACTCAAGGAGCTAGAAAAGGAATGATAAAATAAATTTAAATCAATTAGAAATTAAGAGTGAAAAAGCATAAAGTACTAAATTAGGAAGGTAAAAATTATACGCAGAATTGAAAAATAAAAGCAAAACTTGAATCTCTTAAAAGAAATCTACAAATTTCTTACAAGTTTTATTAAACAGAGAAGATGGGTAAAATGCACAATATTACTACTTTGTCAAACCTGGGATATTTCCTACAAAAATGCTCACAAAAAATTAAGTAGAAAATGTAACAGAGCAATTAAAACAGAAGAAATAGAAAACACCAACAAATTTACCTCCAAAAGTAATCACTCACTGATTTTACAAATGAGTTCTGTCAGAACATAATTGATTCAGCAAATATTCTAATAAAGTCCAGGTGTGGTAACTCACGCCTGTAATCCCAGCACTTTGGGAGGCTGAGGCTGTAGGATTACTTGAGGGCAGGGGTTGGAGACCAACTTGAGCAACATAGCAGTAGCTATGTGAGGGAGACTCCATCTCTAAACAAACTTTAAAAAAAAAAAAAAAAAGCTTTGTGTGGTGATGCATGCCTGTGACCCCAGGTACTCAGGAGGCTGAGGCTGGAGAATCACCTGAGCCCAGGAAATCAAGGCTGCAGAGAGCGAAGATAATGCCACTGCAGTCCAGCCTAGGTGACAGAGTGAGACACTGTAAAACAAAAGATTTCTAATTACTACATCTTGGGAACCGTCTTGTCACTAGCTTTGTGAAAATAAAAAAGAAAATTCTTTCTGTGGAGGAGTGAGGAAGCATGGAAAATACTCATACTATTTAGACTCTTCCTAACTCACTTTTTATGTGCCCAAAAAAGAAGGCACGTAAAAGGAAAATGAAGAATGAACTCCCTTAGGGGTACACATGATCTAAGTAAAGTTGTTAATGCAGCCTCTTCCCTTCCTAAAGAGAATCTGGCTTTTCCAGTAATTGTTTAGCTCTGTTCCCATACTCACTAGATGAAATACCAAGTAGGCCTAGGTGGCAAAGTGTCTGGGCTGGGACAACTAGAAATGAATGATCCATTTTTAGTGGAGTGTCACAGCCTTGGGCTCTCCCGAGTGCAGGGGCCTTGGAAACTGTCTGTGGAGCTCTTTCACCAGATATCGGCTCCTGTGGGGCACAAAGTCTTAGGCCAGGGCAGGTCCAGGGCCTCCCAGTGGAAGTTGTGCTTCTCCACACCTGAGCCATCACCAGGAGCACTAAAGAGAATGGTGTCTGGATGACCTCGAGGGTCATTCCCACTAAAGAGGAGCACCTAATGCTGCCACCCTGGGAACCTGTGTTTCGTCCTCTATTCAAAATAAAAGAAGAACAAGTTGATTCCAACAATGTGTCAAAACAGTGATATAGTATGACCATCTTTACATTATTCCTAAGGATGGCTCAACATTTAGTAATCAATTAAAATAGTGTATCATAGGAGTTAGTGGAAAGATAAAACTCATGATCCTGATAAAAACTTGAAAGGCATTTGTAAAATGCAGCTATCATCTGTAATAAAAATTTGGAGAATTAAATAGTTGAAACTGTTCCCTATTAGGAAATCAATAGCAAACATGATATTAATTGATTGATGATCATGTTAGATTCAGGGGGCACGTGCAGCTTTGTTATATGGATCTATTGTGTAATGGTGAGGTTTGGGCTGCTGGTGTACCCACCACCCAAATAGTGAGTACCCAGTAGGTAAGTTTTCAACCCTCATCCCCTCCTCCCTTCCCCCGATTCAGAGCCTTCGGTGTCTATTGTTTCCATCTTTATGCCCATGCGTACCCACTGTTTAGTCCCGTTTATAAGTAAGACCATGCAAGAAGACATGACATTTAAGTGAAAAGCATTGAAAGCATTCCCAATAATGTGAAGACAATGTCAACAATCTTTTTATTGCCACAATTGCATTCTAAAATCAATTTAGAGCTGTCAGCTCATTGGAATAAATTAGAGTCTGGAAAGACACGTAAAAAAAAAATGAAAATGTAGTAATCAATAAGGTAGTATTCCAAATTAGTAGGGAAAAGAGATATTTAGTCGGTGTTAGTACTGACCAAACATAGAAGAAAAATAAATTAGATTTCTTCTATACCATCAAATAAATTCCGAAAAGCTTAAAGATTTAATTGCTGAAAATAAAATCATTCACAGACTAGAAAAATAGAGATAAATATGTTACATGTTTGACCACACGAAAACACAGTCAGAAAACACTAAAATCATAACAATAAATAGAAGAAAATAGGCCGGGTGTGGTGGCTCACGCCTGTAATCCCAGCACTTCGGGAGGCCGAGGCGGGTGGATCATGAGGTCAGGAGTTCGAGACCAGCCTGATCAACATGGTGAAGCCTTGTCTCTACTAAAAATACAAAAATTAGCCAGGCGTGGTGGCACACGTCTGTAATCCCAGCTACTCAGGAGGCTGAGGCAAGAGAATTGCCTGAATCTGGGAGGCAGAGGTTGCAGTGAGCCAAGATTGAGCCACTGCAGTCCAGCCTGGGCAACAGAGTGAGACTTCATCTCAAAAAAAAAAAAAAGAAAAAAAGAAAATAAATGTAATATATTTGAAAAACAAAGATATACAAATAACTCTTAGAAATCAGTAAGGAAAAGGTCATTATACCAACAGAAAGCTGGGCACTAATAGGTAACTCACAAGTGAGGAAATATTAAAGAGTCAAGAATTTATTAATTTATGAATTCAATAAATATATATTAGCATCATACATTGGCCAGATACACCAGCCAAGGTTAATAAAAAGTCACTATCCAGTGTTGATAAGGATGTCAGAAGTGGACAGTCTTAAATATGACTGATGGGATTATTATAAATCATAAATTTTATCATTATATGTTAGAACATCTTTCTGGAGGGCAGTTTGGCAAAATCTATTGAAAGTGAAAGGGTTAAAAATGCTTGACCATTCCTTTCAAATCTAAGAGTTATAGTGTCATGAGTGGATGTGAGCCCTGGAACTGGGCAGTCATCTTGTAGCCCTAAGGGGAGGGAAGTCACCCCAGAAAGTGGCGGAAGGAGCCTGTCCTCCACAAGATCTCTGAGCTGCAGATCTGACCACCCCAGGGCCCACCGTATCCACAGATGCAGTGTTTTGTGAGATGGCAAATTTCCTTATCACTCCAGTCAGTATTAACTGGGGTTCTATGATTTGTGGTCAATGCACTCTTGAGGCCACAGGGCTCTGCCCTATCCTTTAGACCTTCCAGCCTCACCTTCCACTTCTTCCCAGCAGCCACCTCTGCAGTGGTTAGGCTGTTTCCAACCCTGCCAACACCTTGATTTGCACTTCTGGTCCCAAGATTGTAAGAGAGTAAATTTCCATGGCTTTAAGTCACCCAGTCTGTGTAGTTTGTGATGGCAGCCCTAGGACACAGATACAGCTGAGGCCTAGAATCCACCTCCCTCTGCCCAAAGGCATACTTTGATTTTCTGCTTCTATTAAGTAGACTTAGAATACAGCCTGTAGAGTATGGATCAACAGAAATGGAGATTGATCTACAGCCTTGCAGATAAGAACACAGGCTCTGAGATCTGGTAAATCTCATTCAAGTTCCCAGCTCTGTGTCTATGGCAACTCTCCTAGCTTTTCTCAGCCTCCATTTCCATATCTACAAATAGGGTTAATAAAGATTGTTGAGGGGGCTGAGTGAGATACTGTATATTATACATGTAAAGTGCTTAATATGTTACCTTGTGCACAGGAAGATTTAACAAATTCTAATGCCTTCAGACCCCAGAGTAATCCAGAACAAGAGTTCTCATCCTCCCTTAATTAGATGGACATCAATGGCCACAGCAAAGGGCGGGGATGGTGGGAGTCCCATCGTTTCTGAGAAATACAGGAGCAGGTGTGAAATTCCATTTACAAAGATAGCCCATATTGTTATGAACCAACAACAGTGAGGAAATATAAGTTAGAAGAAAGAGGGAAGCAATGGATCCTAGGTCTTGGAGCGTGGAGAAAACTGTGTGGGGCCACACGGGGAGCACTGGCTTCCAAGGGCAGCAGACACAGGGTTTGCTCAGGCAGGATGTGAGGGAAGGGGTTCTGGGTTCCCCTTCCATGGAGAGAAGACCCAGCCGAAGGATGGCATAACCAGTGGGGCTTACCCCATCACACTTAGTTAGAAAATACTGATCTAGAAATAACTATTTGATTGGGAAATCAGTACTTGTGGATTCCCATAACTAGTTATCTCTTGGCTGCTTGGAGTAAAAGGCAGAATGGGTTTTACTTAGAAATGTAGTGCCTTTTTTTGGCTTAGAAATGTAGTGTCATTTTATCCTGTGGTTTCCTAGAACACATAACCATTTTGTTTTATTCCTAGAGAAATAATCCATGACATGTGAGCTTTTATCACAAAACAAAAATGTCAAACTTTATCTTTGGAACAAAATAAATGGTTGATCATTGTCTTTTGTCATTTATTGTAAAATATGTTATCTATGATAACTATTGGTATGCTTTGCGCTCCACTCTTCTTGATATTTAAAATAGGTGAGTAATTGATTTCTGAGCGTGGAGTATTTGCTCTGTAGCTTATTTGCATACTTACATTTTGATACTGAAAGAAATCCTAGGAGTTAACCTCAAAAGTTGTAGACTTTGCCTAGATAAACATCTGCTGTTTTAATGGTATTTTGAACTGCAGAGTTACCATTTAACAACCCTTTATTCTTTTCTTTTTTATAACTGAGTGGGTGGGGAAATGGGAAAGAATTCTAAAGAACCAGTCACCTCACCTGTCTTCTCTCTGCTTCATCCGTTGCAGAGGAGTTTCTGCACCACGCATGCCTTCTTCGTGCAGTTGGTATAAGAACCCAAAGAAAGAAGAGATGGAAAAGCACTTCAGTCAAACCCTGCACCCGTGTAAGGGAGGAGGCTTACCCCGTTGTTGCTTCATCACTTTTCAAATGAGTTCCATGTTTAGATCTTTAAAATGTGACATCGGCTTTTTGTTTGTCACTGGTCTTCTGTTCATTTCATCAATAACACTAATTTAATAAATGTTTACAAATTAAATGTATTAGCCATTTATTCATTTAACCAGGAATTCCTGAGCATTCCTATAGACCGTGCCCTGGGAATACAGTGATGAGTGAGAGGGGCTATTATAGCGTCCACTACCGTGGAACTGACTTTCTGCTGGGAGAAGCAGACACTGAAAGAGGCTCAGGGCAGATGGCAGTGACGGCTGTGGTCAGGGAAGGTCTCGTGGAGGAGGTGATAATTGAGCTGAGTCCTGAAGGATGAGGACAGGCCATGTAGGAAGGAGCTGAGGAAGAACCCAGCTGGCAGAGCTTAGCAAGGGTGAAGGTCTGGAGGATGGAAATGAAAAGAAACCGATGTGGCTGGAGGGTGGTGGTGACGGGAGAGCAAAGTGTGAGGCATCTGGACCAGACTGGGCCACATTTCCAAATGAAAACACGGCTCATTCCTGAGACTATATCCCAAATGGAGCACTCCTGTCTGCGATGAGGAAGGGCTGGGTGAAGGCCCACATTCCTTTCTTTGAGTGAGCACTGGGGGTACATTGGTACATGGAAAGGGTAAGTAACCTTCTCAAGGAGCACCAGTGGCCATGGATCCCTTGATCCTGAGCCAGCTCCTGGGGGTGGCAGGGAAGATGGGTGATCCAAGGCCTGCTGGTCAAGCCAAGGCTTAGGTTGTTAAGTCCATTCACTCGCTTTTCTCCTAACTCAGTATGTGGGACTTTTCCTAGTAAACCAGAGCCTGCCTGAGAAGTCTCTGCTGCAGTTACGTGTTTACACTGAGAGACAATCTTTGGTTCACTGGATCAGCGAGCTCACTCCCAGAAAGCCCAGGAAATGACAGACCTCCACCACTTCGGATAATCTGGCAGTCTGTGGCCCAGGACTCTGGCTCCCTTCCCTCTACAGATGCCTGGGCTGAATAAGCAGATGGGGAATGAGAGAAGAGACACCTGAGCCACCAACTCCTAGCTCTACCCTTCCCAAGACTGAAAGATAATAGATGATATCTTCAGAAAATGAGGAGTGGGGTGTGGGAACTCAACAAGGGAGTGGCCAACTTTTTCCATACAGGTCCGGATAATAAATGTTTAGGCTTTCTGGGCTGCATACGGTCTCTGCCACACATGCTTCTTTGTTTTTATTTGTTAATTATTTCTTTATAAACTTTAACACTTAAAGGGGTTAAACTTTAACCCTTTAAACACTTAAAAAGGTAAACATTGTTCTTAGCTTGCAGACCTTACCCGCAACCTGAAAAGTGGATTTTACAGTTCGTTAACCCCTAACCTACCCTGCTTTGCCCTGATGAACTTCAAACCTGAGGCTACTTAAGCCAAGTTAGGGACCGAGGAGCTGTTTCTTTTTCTTTTAATCTCAAATGGGAGTGCCCTGAGGCAGGCCTTCTCTGATAACCTCATCTCAAAACCCCAAATCCCGGTTCCCACACCATTTGCAGTCAAGAAATGGAAGATGGGAGAGGCCAAGCAATCTCCCCAAGGCCATGTGGCTAACAAGTGAGGCAGGACTCGAACCCAGGCATTCTGATTCCAGAGTCACGGTCTTAACCACTGCACTATACCATCCCCTGCTAGAAGCTAGAGCTGTGACTTTCTCTTTTTGGGTAAAGCCCCCATCTGTACAACAGGAGGGGTGGGGTGGTGTTTTCATCAATGTGAGAAGCATACCTGATGGCAGGTGAAGTGATTTCCATGGCTCACACACAGAGCATCAAATAATATTGATTCACGGAATGAAAAGATGATTGCCTTTTCACATCTCTCTCTTTTTTATTTTTATTTTTTGAGATGGAATCTCACTTTCTTACTGTGGTTGGACTGCAACGGCATGATCTTGGCTCACTGCAATCTCTGCCCCCACCCCCGCCCCGGGTTCAAACAATTCTCCTGCCTCAGCCTCCTGAGTGGCTGGGATTACAGGCACCTGCCACTATGCCTGGCTAATTTTTGTATTTTTAGTAGAGACAGGGTTTTACCATCTTGGCCAGGCTGATCTTGAACTCCTGACCTCGTGATCCACCTGCTTCAGGCTCCCAGAGTGCTGGGATTACAGGCGTGTGCCACCACACCTGGCTTTCACATCTCTTTCAAGTCTTCCAATAATGTCAGGGAAGAAGGTTGAGTCTGGTGTTAATATATTTTTTAAATGTCTCCAAAGTTGCTAATCTTCTTTTCTTTTTTTAAAACAAGAACAGGTTTTATAACTCAGGGTCCTCAGTAGGCAGTGATAGCTAGCTAGAGTTTTAGTATCATTGTTGTACTACTATTGTTACTTCTATTATTAGTTTCATGGTTTTAGTTTTTATTGCCTTTTCAATTATTCGCTATTTATGAAAAAAGTTAGTGTTGCCATTGCTGTAATTCGCTTGTCCATTTGTTCATAGTTACAAGATTGCTGCTGAGGCTCCTGCCATCACACCCAAATTGAAATTAAGGGGAAAGACAGGGTTCAGCCACTTTTGTCTCCTATTACCAGGAAAGCAAAATAATTTTACATACTTTGCATTGACGGGAACTTGCTGCATGGCTACATGTAGCAGCAAAAGAGGCTGAAAAAGTGGGTATTTGGCTGGATACATTGCTACCACAAACTCATCAGAATTCTATCATCAAGAAAAAGACATCCATCCCATACTCTGCAACAAATGTGTTTGCCATAGGCTGGGAATCCTTTGAGTTTTCTCTTACGTTTCTGCAAAGAGCAGGCATGGAAGCCAGAGATGTGGAATGGCTTAAGGGAATTCAGCAAAAAGCCAATTTCTCTTTACCTTGTTTACCAGCAACACACTGCCTTCCCCATGGTGGAGTGGAACACTGATGATCCATCATCAATCCTAAGGAACAACACACAATGAGAAAAACATTATTGCCATACTCTTACAGTGGTGGCGAGGAAATCTTACGAGTTTGTCCCCATTGGCTACTATGGCTTAAAGTGCTAAGTTAAAGAACCCCTCACCTTTTCAGGCTACTGTGTAGAGGCTCTATTTACTTACCTCACATGCCTCCAAATATGTACCCTAGAAATCAGATTTGGTGTCTTATAAATCCCAGAAACAGGAAGTTTCTATTTCAAGAACTACTTTTCAAATTAGTGTTTTATTTAAACAAGCATTTAGTGAGTTCCCACAGTTCCCTAGGCACCTTCTTAAGTGTTGAGAATATAGGGGTGAATTGGACCCATAAGGCCCTAGAGCCCGTATCCTGATGGGAGAGGCAGATAAAAGATCTGAAGAAAAACAGGAGCTCAGGAGGATTAAGAGCTGAACACAGGAGCCAGACTTCTGGGCTTGAATACAAATTCTGCAGCTTCCTGGCTTTGTGGTTTTGGGCAAATTACTTCCCTCTCTATGCCTCAGTTTCTCCACCTGTAAGATAAGAATAATTACAGTACTTCATAAAGCTACAGTGAGACTGTTTTTTGATGCATAGTGATTAAACACAGCTATACTGAAGGGTGAGGAAGCTAAGATGTAGACAATATTTTAAATGGTAAAAAACAGGGATGACAAATTACTACCCACCTCGTTTGGGTGGTTGAGTGTATTACATGGCTTAACGAGCATAAAATGCTTATAATAGTTACTAGTATGTAGTAAGTGCTCGGTACATGTTAGCTACTATAGTATTTCAAGTACTGGGTTTTTACTTGATGTCATACGGAGTGATACAAGGTCTCTAAAGATACTAAGGAATCCTCAAGGCCAATTTTAACAAGCATGGGTGCCACATTCTTGTGCTCATAGTTGAAGATTTCTTCCTTCAGACACTTGCACAAAGGGATACTTCTAAGATGCATTTGCATTAGGTGGCGAATTTGGTCCTGGGTAGGAAAACCATTGAGATTTGGGAATAAAGGATAGTAAGACTGAGGTTGCAATTGCTAAAGGAAAACCCTAACAGTGAGAAGTGGAGGCGTGCAATATCACGCATTTCCCCCCCACCCGCTCCCTCTCCCCAGGCCCCGCTTCCTTAGAACACCCGTGATTGGCGATATTATATCAGCATTTCCCATAATGTTAAAAGGGAAAATACAGACCTGGGCTTTCATGGGAAGTACTCTAACTCTCACAACCAGAATACCTGTCTTCAAATGTTTTTGGAGGGAGGGTTTAGATCTTTAACTTTTCCTTCAGCATTTCAGTACTCCACTTTTTGAAAATCATCTGTTCTGAGCAATGACATTTCCTGGCACAGCATCATCATTGTCAAGTGACTCAGTTTGATTTTTTTTGTTTGTTAATATCAGGTGGCCCCAACTTACAGAGAAAAAGTGGGCTCTTGGTATCAGAAAAAAGTATCAGTTTGATGTCAGGGTTTTTCCATGTTTGAGAGGGAGCTTTAAATATCACTCAATTTGAAGGTGTCTGCAGGCGCGCTCTGGTCATCTGTCAAAATGCTTCTGGCCATGGTCCTTACTTCTGCGCTTCTGCTGTGCTCCGTGGCCGGCCACGGGTGTCCAACATTAGTGGGCATCAGGGACATCAACTACCTGATTGACAAGATGAAGGTAGGCGGCAGGGAGCGCCCGTGGGAAAGATGGCTACTGACAAAGTGAAGTACATATGAAGATGAAAAATCTTAGGACTGACTAGAGGTTCTTATCTCTCTATCTACTTTAGGAAGATCCATCTTCGAAGTGCAACTGCAGAGCTAATGTGAGTGAATGCTCTTTAGGAAATTTCCAAATTAATTTTAATTTTCCCATCTGGAATCTTCACTCTGAAATTTCTCTTGCAGGTGACCAGTTGTCTCTGTCTGCCCATTCCTTCTGTAAGTATAGTGAAAGAATATAATTTTGACCTTGGGTTTTTTAGGTTTGTTTTTACACAAAAATAAGTTACCTTAATTACTATCTAATGTTATAAATTGTGGTTTAATTCAATTGTTACAGATTAGTATTCCCTGTTAAAATCATATTGTTACAAATTATTCCCTTTTAAAACTATGATCTTGAAATCTTATATTATGAACTTTTTTTTTGTATTTAGTTAACTTTATGCCTCTTGGGAAGTTTAAACGCTTCTCAACATTAAAAAAAAGAATCTTGAGGCCAGGCACAGTGGCTCATGCCTGTAATCCCAGCACTTTGGGAGGCTGAGGCAGGCAGATCACAAGGTCAAGAGATCGAGACCATCCTGGTCAACATGGTGAAACCCCGTCTCTAGTAAAAATACAAAAATTAGCTGGGCGTGGGGGCTTGCGCCTGTAGTCCCAGCTACTCGGGAGGCTGAAGCAGGAGAATTGCTTGAACCTGGGAGGCGGAGGTTGCAGTGAGCAAAGACTGTGCCACTGCACTCCAGTCTGGCACCTGGTGACAAAATGAGACTCTGTCTCAAAAAAAAAAAAAGGAATCTTGAATATCTTTTTAGATAGGTGGCCATGTGCATGATTAAATGAAGCTGGAACTAAGGATATAATAATTGCTATATAGCTCATATCATATTGCTTCCTAACTTATTTACTGATAACTCTTGGATTGTGAAACAATGTAAATAAAGTGATAACCTCTCATCTTTCATCGGGCATGAATGATCTACACGCTATGCCTCCCCCTCCCTGCCTCCTGCCTCCTCCCTTCCTCCCTTCCTCCCTTCCTCCCTTCCTCCCTTCCTCCCTACCTCCCTATTGTCTATCTAGCTGATGAGGGTGGCTGTTGGTTTGAATGCTGCCCTCTGGACAGATAGAGGATCTGAGGTTGTGGGTGGAAGGAGGACTTCCAGAGGGCCACTGCCCAGTCTGACAGAAAGGATGGGTGGCAGGAAAGTTCTGATTCCTGATTCGAACTCCTGATTAGGATGAGGAGGAGGTGCTTCACCAAGGTGGAGTGCCTTTTTCTTTCTCATGCAAGGAGGCCTGGGAGAATCTAAGCTTCTTGCCCCAGCTAGGGTGAGATATCGCACCCATCGAGGTCCATCCATTAGATGAGAAGAGGCTAGAGTGCCTTCTGGGGAGGAAGCAGGCAGTCAGCACGGCCCCTGCCCCTTAACGTACAGTCCGTGTTTTCAGCTGCTGCCAAAATACCAGCTGCATTCAACTGTCACATCCCATTAGCTGGTGTGGAAAGGCTTTTCCTCACTCTGCACTTTCAAACTTACAAGGCTTGAAGCACCTGTTGAAAAGAACACTCACAGCTATTTCAGGGCCCATAGCCCTCATGTTTCCTGGATGGAACATACTGGAAATCTCCTCCAGGGGCTGTCACTGTAGAAAGATGGCATCCCTTTAACTATTGAAGAACACTTCCTACACTGGCAATGGACCTATCTAAAAATAATGCAAGTTTCACTTACACTGATTAAATCGAAAGCATCTCTATTACATCGCTCTTTGTGGTATATTTTCAAAGTTGTCCTCAGACTGTTTCTTTTAATATATTCTTACTATTTACCAGGACAACTGCACCAGACCATGCTTCAAGGAGGGGCTGTCTCAGATGACCAATACCACAGTGCAAACGAGATACTCGCTGATTTTCAGTCGGGTGAAAAAATCCGTTGAAGTACTAGAGAACAAGAAGTGTCCAGTAAGTTTGTTCTTACGTGTAATGTGTTCTGGTTGGTGATTTCTGTGTGAATCATGATGTCGACCCTGTTTGAATGCAAACGGATGATAAAGTTGGAGTTGATAGTTCAAGGTTGATGAAGGAGATCTAAGAAATTTAATCAAAAGTAATGGAATTAAAGTGAGAGTCAATGAAACAATAGAATTAAATTGAGATAGACCATTGTTCCCCCTAGTTTTAAAAACACACCAACGGGGCCTTTACTTCTCTCCACTTATGAAATAATGAAAGAACCCTTTCTGAGTGTAATTAGAAGCTACAATCTGGAGAATCAGGGATGTAGTTCACATAATACTAAATTATCCTAGAGATTCAATTTACTAACCGAATGGTGTTGCTAAAAGAGATTTTTTTTCCTGTTGTTTAAGGAGGGTTTTTGTTTTTGTTTTTTGTTTTTTTGACAGAGTCTCGCTCTGTTGCCCAGGCTGGAGTGCTATGGTGTAATCTTGGCTCACTGCAGCCTCCACCTCCTGGGTTCAAGTGATGCTCTTGTCTCAGCCTCCCGAGTAGCTGGGATTACAGGTGTGTGCCACCATGCCTGGCTAATTTTTGTATATTTAGTAGACTAGGTTTCACCATGTTGGCCCAGCTGCTCTTGAACTCTGGACTCCAAGTGATCTGCCTGCCTCAGCCTCCCAAAGTGCTGGGATTACAGGTGTGAGCCACCACTCCCTGACCTGGATTAAGAGGGCGTTTAAGGTCAATGCACCCGGGTCAAGGTGGAAGCTTGCGACTCGTCCTGAATGCCCATCCACAGATTCTCTTCTTCAGCATATACTTGAATCCCTAATAGCAGAGTGGGGTGGTGGGTTGGATGGGGTGACCTCCCTGCCTCTTTTGGGTGTTAGCATCTCCACGAAAGATCATAGAAGGCTGAAAGCCCTGTGCTCAGATGTTTAGCTGCATGTGTTTCTACCATCAATAGCATTTAGTTCTAAGTGCTTCATACATGCTGTCTCACTGAATAAATACATACCTTAGGGACAATTATTCAATTTATCACTCTCAGTGAGGTCATTTGCCTAAGGCTGCATATTTAATAAATGGCAGAGCTGAGATGTGAATTGAGGTCTATGTGACCTCAGAGCCCCATTCTTAGCCATTGTGCTGTCAAATGACCTTGGAAAGACAATCTAAAAGGATAATGATACCATTTTAGGCCTCAAAGAGTCCCCAGAAAAGACTTTCCCTAATGGGGAGATTTAGGGCCACTTGATAGGGGTGTGTGTGTGTGTGTGTGTGTGTGTGTGTAAAGACCCCTGAAATCCAACTTGAAGTCAACCACCTGTGCTGTCTTTACACCACGTGAGCTAGCCTGGACCTGACCACCTGTTTGTTCTGGGTCTCAAACCCCTTCCCAGTCCATCCCCCCACTCCTTGCCTGACTCTGGCTCTTGGCAGGTCGGCTCCAGGGCTGCGTGGCTCTACATCACTCTGTCCTTATCAACTTTCATCCCCACAGTATTTCTCCTGTGAACAGCCATGCAACCAAACCGTGGCAGGCAATGTGCTGACATTTCTGAAGAGCCTCCTAGAAGTTTTCCAGAAAGAAAAGATGAGAGGAATGGGAGGCAAAATATGAAGATTAAATATTATTTATTCTATTTATTAACTTAAAAAGCTTTCTCTTTAAGTTGCTACCATTAAAAAATCAAGTAAACTAAGTCAAAATCAGTTGCAATCATTTGTTTAAAATTGCGTATCTTTATTTTGAAATAAATATATATGGGGGGAAACAACATGAGCTGGTCCCTAGGCAATTATTCATTTCTTGCTGCTCAGAGTGAAGAAAGCTACTTGCGTTGTTAAGGGGAAAAACAGATCAGAGACTTCTGTAGTGATGAGTCCTGATGCTGAATATAGCCCTTGGGCTCACAGGCTGTGGCTGGGGCTGCAGGGGGCTGCAGGGAGCAGTTACTGAGGGTGTCTATGGGGACCATCTGAGGGTTGCTGCTAGGGGAGGCTGAAGGCAAGTCTAAGTGAGGGAGGCAGGGGACCCTGCCAAGAGGGCTAGGGTCCTGAGAAACTGGCCATGCGCCTAAAAGAGGAGACGGCAGCAGTTTGCAGGTGGGAGACTACTCAAGAATGCGGGCATGCAGAATAAATGCTTAATAATTAAGTGCTTCGCCCACTAGTTCAGGTAGGAAGTAGATATTATTATTACAGTGTTTCTGTTCTGTAGATACTGAAACCAAAGTTTAGAAAGTCTGGATGGCATTCCCAAGATCCCACAGGTGGAGAGATTTAGAGGAAGATTCATCCCTAGCGCTCTCTGCTTCTAAACCCTTTGCTGTTTGCATTCTGCCCCTTCTTATTCTCTTTACGCCCTGGATATACATTGTGCTTCTTCAGACCACAGCCTGAGGGTAAAATAGACCCATCATAATTCCAGGCCACACTCTCATATCCAGAAACTAAGGGAGTCTGACAGGTTTCAGCATTCAAGCTTTTTAGCCTTTTATAAAGTTGAAACAATCCATGCGCCATATATTACATAACACATAGCAGAGCCTGGGGCAAGATTCCATAATTAAACATATCAATCCTGTAGCAGTCACCGAAACGGTCAAGTTTTGCAGCCAAATGAGTCCTTGAGTTTTCAGAGCTATTTAGATTTCAGAATCATGATACGAAATTGGTAAGCTGCATTAACAAAACAGCCTATGTCTAGCTCATGCCCTACTTACTAAGGGAGTGAGGCACTCTCTCCAAGACTTTTTATCTGGGGCTGGGCTGGGTGTCTCCAGGAGGAACAGAGTTTTCTGTAGCTCCCTGGACAGCAGGCGCATGGAGTTCCAGACAGCAGCTGCAGGGCCTTCTCTCCTCCTCTCCTCCATGTGAGTTTTCTGAATGACTGGCCAGACAGAGTTGCATCATGTGACACTGTGGTTTACCACCTGCAGCATGGGGAGACACCCATCTCAGCAATGCTCACCCCAAGCAGGATCACAGCAGGGACAGATGCTGGTGGCTGCTGATGATTTCAGAATACAACTCGGAAATGCGGTGTGTTACCAGAGGAGATGGGCAGAGACGAGCTTCCACCCACTGCTGCAGATTAATCACCAGAGTAGCTTGGTGCTGTCCCTCTGCTTTTCTGCAAAAGTCACATAATCTGCAGTGCTCACTCCTGCAGACAAGCTCCAAGGAGGGTTTACTTATAGTGAAGTGTGCTGTAATTATCATCTCTGTGGCAGGAGAGTTGAGATTCATCAAGAAGCTGCCCTGGAGAAAGGAGAACCAACATTTAGTGTTTACTCTGTACCAGGCACTCTGCTAAGCCTATTTTGTAGAATATCTGGTTGGATCCTCACAACAACGCCATGAGATATTTATATAATCGTTGCATGTAATTTTTCCCACTGCACAAATGAGATAACTAGGCCCAACGAGGTTGCATAACTTGGCCAGAAGCATGTTGCTCACAAGTGGTTAAGTTGCTACTCTTGCCAGGTTGCCAGGCCCCAGGCAGAGCTGTTTCCAGTAGATTCCAGGCCAAAGCACACACTGCTGGCCAAAGCCAAGCCAAGATGTGGCCAGCCATAAAGCTGGCTCGTCCATCTCTCCCTCCCTCCCTCTGTCCATCCATCCAGTTTGAAGCAGGAAGATGCTGTGATGTCTCAACCTCACCGTTCCTCTCCTCCCATTGCCACATTTCGTCACCCTGTTTCGTTGACCCCAGACCAAGACCTCCTTTTCTCTGCAAAGGGAGGCCTCAGCACAAACACAAAGAGGACCCAAAGGGCTTCATTCTTTGTTTTTATCGCCTTAAAAAGATGGCTTTAGCTAGGCACTGTGGCTCATGTCTATAATCCCAGCACTTTGGGAGGCTGACACAAGCAGATCACCCAAGTTCAGGAGTTTGAGATCAGCCTGGCCAAGATGGTGAAACCCAGTCTCCATGAAAAATACAAAAATTAGCTGGGCATGGTGACATGCAACTGTAGTCCAGCCACTAGGAGGCTAAGATGGGAGGATCGCTTGAGCTAGGAGGTAGAGGATGCAGTGAGCCATGATTGCACCACTACACACTCCAGTCTGGGCAACAGAGCAAGACCTTATTTAAAAAACGAAACAAAACAAAAAACAAAAAAGATGGTTTCATTGAGATGTGCTTCATATACTATATACAATACAATTCACCCACTAAAAGTGTATAATTCAATGGATTTTAGTATAGTGGCATGTTGTGCAAACATCACTCTTTATACCATATCATATCATCTTTAAATAGTTAGTTTACTTCTCTTTTCCGATTTGGGTGCCTTTTCTTTCATTTTCTCACCTAATTTCTGTATAGAACTTCCAATACAATGTTGAATAAAAGTTGGTGAGAGCAGACATTCTTCTTTTGTTCCTGATTTTAGTGGGGACGCATCCAGTCATTCACAATTAAATATTAATATGATGTGAGCTGTGGACTTTTCATAAAAATGCTTATTATTAGGCTGAGAAAATTCTCTTGTATTTTCAATCTGTTGAGCACTTTATCATGAATGAGATTGGATTTTGTCAGATTTTGCACTTATTGGTACAGAGGCTATTGACACAGAGTTTAATTCTCGGCTTTAGAATTTCTAGTGGTAACTCTCCTAGCTCTGGGATAGGAAGTAACTCCTTGGGCTATGGAAGAGAAGCCAGAGAGGAGAGGATGATGGCAGACACGGCTGAGTTCCCTAGAGAAGGGCTCTCTGCCTGGCCCCCAGCAGAGCCTTGGGGTAGGGGGCAGAACTCCAGGGGATGGTAGAAAACCGAGAGTGAAGGGCACGTGAGCTGCATGCCCCGAACGCCCTGGGAGATGCCATGAAAAGAGAATGCCACTTGCCACCACACATAAGGTGGGGTATAGGGAGGAAGACCCACAGGTCCTAGGAAGGTGGGCTTGATGCAGCACCCCGAATAGTTCCAAAAGAGAAACCAAGGATGTTCATACAGGGCAGAGAGGAGCACTGATGTGTCTTGGAGGGTGATAAGGCTGGAGAGGCCTTGGGATGGGTATATATGAGGACCACACATCAGGGACCAAATGGGACTGAAGCCATCCTGGAGGGAAAGCCATGCCCAGGACTAGCCAGGAAGAACACCAGGGTAGGACAGAGCATCTCCCAGGACCCTGAAGCCTCTCCCTAAATCCCAAATCCCCCACCCTCTGGATTTAAAGCCAACCCCAGGGGAAGGTGGAGGAGGAAAAATTCTTGAACTGAGCATTTAACTTGGACTTTCTAAGTTTTACCCTGAAATAGCAAAATTATTTTTTTCTGTTGTCAGCTTGAAAAAAAAATTCAGTTGAGTTAACAAAAAATAAAGAAAGCTTTATTTATTTGCTGCAGACCTGAGGATGTGATTTATTCACTCAGCAGACACTAGTAAGTGCGCAGTGAGGAGCAGGCGCTGGGCTCAGTGTGCGGTGAGGAAGGTGCTGCCGCTGTCCCCTGGATCCACCGGTGCAGGAGCGGGGAGAAACCTGGTCGATACTGAGAGGAGAGGAGAGGCACGGGGATATGGGACTTGAGACTTGAGGGCGGCGTGGCTCACTGGCCCCTCCACAGGCCCAGCCAGAAAAGCGAAGTGTTTCTCTGGATGGTTTCTGGCTTCCTGGAGTTCAAGGGCTGGACTTCTCTGCTGGACCAAACATTTCTTAGAAACCTCTTTGATGCCGGCCTAGCAGAGTGGGCATTGGGGATCAGAACCTTGGAAGGCTTGAATCAATGACTCATGAGGCATCTCAGGCGTTAGAAGGGCCACGTCAGTGTCTGCACCATCCTAGCCCATGCTTGCTAACTGGTGTCCACTCTGGAGGTCCAAAGGCCAAACCTTTGCAGCTCTCAGGGCTTCACATGCAGAGATGAGGGAACACTGGGGTCACCCTGTGTTCACCTCCTGGAAAAAGCAAACAACCCAGACTCAGAGAAGAAGGCAGGCAAAGAACGGAAACCAGAAAAATCACACAGTGCCCCCATTCCTCCAGCCCCTATGTTTTGCACTTTACAGTTTACAAAACCACCTTTGCACTTGATTCTTTTTTTTTGTTTGTTTGTTTTTGAGACGGAGTTTCGCTCTTGTTACCCAGGCTGGAGTGCAATGGCGCGATCTCGGCTCACCGCAACCTCTGCCTCCTGGGTTCAGGCAATTCTCCTGCCTCAGCCTCTTGAGTAGCTGGGATTACAGGCACGCGCCACCATGCCCAGCTAATTTTTTTTTTGTATTTTTAGTAGAGACGGGGTTTCAGCATGTTGACCAGGATGGTCTCGATCTCCTGACCTCGCGATCCACCCGCCTCGGCCTCCCAAAGTGCTGGGATTACAGGCGTGAACCACCGCGCCTGGCCCTGCACTTGATTCTTATGAAAGCTGTGCAAGTTAGATAAGGGAGACCAGTGTCGATGCCTGCAAGAACACACAGGTAGCCGATGGCCCACCTGTAACGGGAATCCAAGGGGAAGGTCTCCCTCCTGTGAAGATCTTTCCACCACAGCGAAGGAAAAGGGCAAGACCACGGGAGATGGAGACACCCAGGAAACAGGAAGAGAAGTGTCACGGGCCCTTGTGCTCTCCCCTCAGGGCCAAGGTCTTGCACTCCCAGACGCGGATTCCTGCGGAGGGTTTGGTTGACCTCTGCTGCCACCGAGTGGTGGTTCTGCTGTGTATCAGCCTTTGGGTGAGAGATTTTTTTTTTTTTTTTTTCCTTTAGGGCAAGCAGTTCTCAAAGGGAATCCACGAGGTCAAAACTATTTTCATAGACCACTAAGATGCTATCTGCTCTTTTCAATCTCATGTTCTCACAAGTGCACAATGGAGTTTCCCAAAGGCAACATTTCAAGAGATAACCCATAGACTAAAAGCAAAAGCAGACAGGGGAACAATTGCCCTCTGTTTAAGCCAGACTTAGCCGCAAGAAGAGAAAACAATGCAAGTCTTCTCGTTAATTATGTTGGTTTAGAAAGAATCGTTATTTATATAGAATGTTATTTATGCAAAACGTCATGGGTTTATTATTATACCTAAATGGATAAATATTTTTGAAATTGCTTGAATTTCCGGTAAATGTTGGTATATATATGCAGATCTTCTTTGGGGGCACTTAATAATTTTTAGGAGTGAAAGAGGATGCTATTGAGAACTGCTGCTGTATATGGTAATGGTTTTTGTTCTTTTTATCATCCCTAGTAAGGCAAACTGGCCAATCCTGAAGCCCCCCAACTCCAGGACACAGACACCAAAACTGGTGCTTGGCTTGGAATTCTGTTCTGTTTTCATCCTTCTTAAAAATAGAATTCCATTTGTTTAAAGACTTTCCTGATCATGACACAGAAATTAATGCCTGATACTAAGCTTCCTGAGGGCAGGCTCCCTGCCATTTTCACCCAATACCTAGCACAGCACTGGGCACTGTCAGACTACACACACACACACACACACACATTTGGCGAAATAAAACCATAATGTGTCGATGGGGGAAAACTCCCAAGTTGTTGGCCCCAACTATTCCACAAGATTGCCCTCCAGAAAAATCAAAGAGGAAGCAGAGCCATTTCTGGCTGACCCCTCCCAGTTCTGGCTACCACATGAGATGTGTTTGGGTTGGAGCCAGTTTCTTCATTAAGGCTGAGTTTCATTCATCGCAGCCCAGGTGCTCCTGGGTGGGAGTGAGAGTGCAGAAAGTGTGCTGAGGCAGTGTCTGCCCAGCATGGAGGAGGGTGGGGGTGGGGAGAGGTGGCAGGGGCTGTTATTCAGAGCCAGGCTGAGGCTGGGCAGTGAGGCAGAGCCAGCCTGCAGCCTGAAAAACAAGTGCCCAGCAGGGAGCCCTAGCTCAGCAATAAGATGTGCTTTTATTTTAAGAAATTATGAAAACAATATGTACATGCTGTAAAAAATCGAAACATTGTAGTAATCGCCATCATCAAATCACTCATTACAGTGATGTACAAAGAAATCACCGCCATCAAAGTGAGAACTAAAAGCCTTCTCCCGACCCTACATCCCAGAAATAGCCACTACTAAATCCGGTATGTACCCTTCCAGAGTTTTTCATTGCCCATGTAGTTACACATATATAATATGTATTTTTAAATGAAAATGAATAACATCACATACTTTATTCCACCCTTCCATTTCTGCACTTACAATGTTGCTGACATATTTCCATGACAATATGTTTAAAGTCCACCTCATTCTTTTTAGTGGCTGTGTGATACTATTCTAGAGTATGGATGCATCTCAATTTGTTTAACCCCCTCTTCTATTGATAGGCATTTAGAAAGTTTCTGAATTTTCATTATTATAAGCAATTCTCAATGAACATGGTTGTGGCTGCATTTTTGCCCATTAATTTATGCTTCCTTTATTCTAAACCCTGTTTGTGCTTGCTGCTATGCTGAATCTAAGGTTTGGGACAACTAAGCCCTGGCTGTGAAGGTGGGCACAGGCCGGTGAGAAAGAGAGGGCACACAGACATGACTGTAGCACAGGGAGGGACACAGTGCCAGAGGGTCACGTCGCTGTAAGGGCCATGGATGCTGCTGGGAGAAGAGAGAGAGAGAGAATCTAGGAAGCCCAAACACCTAAGGGCTTAAAGCATCTGAGTTGGGCTGAAAACAGGGAGCATTCCTGTGTCTGGTGATGCTGGGGGTAAGAGTGTCCTATAGGTTAAAGGAAAGCACAGAGGCAGGAAGCCTAGAGGGCGCTGAGCAGACAGCAGCGGGCCAGCAGGCTGGTTGGATCACTTGGGAATTCTTTCGGCAAACCTTTAAATGCCTATTATATGTCTGGCACTGGACAGGATGAGGGAAATGATGGTAGCCAGGGAACCTGGACCAGAGCAATGGGAGGTGAGTCCAGAAGGGCAGTTCTGATGTGGTTCATAGGAGGCCTTCAATAGCAGTTTGAGACTCCACCCTTACATGTCCCAACAACTTTATCTTTTTCACACCACAAAATAGCCATCATCATGGCTGCTGGTGATGTTCCCTGGGCTGGACAGCAGGGGAGTATAGCCTCAGGAAGATTAACAAATGTGATTGGTGGTAAAGTCCTGAGCTGGGGCTCAGTTACATCGGAGCCTCAGTTGCTTCATCTGTAAACTGGATCAGCATGCTTCTCTCTGCTTACCTCCTCCTACTATCAAGAGGTGCCGTGATGATTAATAGAAACTAGGAAAGGCTCAGACACCTGAAGGTGGTTGTTGCATCTCAGCATCATCAGGAGCATCCAGTAGAAGACCCCAGTTGGCCTTCTGGACACAGCACTCCTACCAAACAAACTGTGCAACCACACCTAGCACCGGGAAATGGTCCAGTTGAGGCAGACTTAAGAAACACATTCTAGAATGTGTTAGAGCAGAGACTTCAGGTCTACTCAGGGATGAACCAGGTGCCAGAAACAGCTCTCCACTCACATCCTCCATGCCCACCCAGGCCGTGATGCTGGGGCAGACAGGCAGGCTCGTCTCTCCAGTCAATAGAGCCTCTCCACCGGAGTCCCTTGTGGCTGTTCCCACCACCTAGGTCAGCACCTGCTCAACAAATGTTTGATGACTGAACAAATGAATGAATGTCCCACTGCTGGAGGGTGGGCAGCTTGAACTGCAGCCTACAGAGATGCCCAGGGGACCCTGCAGTCCTGGAAGCTGTGAAGAGAAAGATTGAGGAGGGCACGCTGACGGTTTTATTTCAAGCAGGGAACCCTCCACTCCACTAACAGGCTTTACACCGAAGAGACTGAACACTTTCAAAAGTATTGCTTTTGTCTTGGGTCTATTAAGGCAGAGAATTTTCAGATATGCCAAATCACTCAAAGGCAGGGGACAGTGGGAGAACAGGATAGTGGAGAAACCAAGGAAGACCTTTTCACGGGAAAGAATAAAGAACAAATTTGGGGACATTTCCTGCACTGGGATTTAAGCCAGGGATGGCAAATAGATTTATTTAGTATGACAGTTCTGTGCAGCTGGTGGTGGCTGCTGGGGCACTGTGCTGAGAAGGATTCTGAGGCGCCATTCAGCTCATCAAGAAAGGGCTCTATGATTGGCTGGGAATGCTTATTGTGGGCATAGAATTGGGAGAGGCTGCAGGGACTCAAGCCATGTAACAGCGAAATAGTAATGGCCTCCCCACGTGGCTCTAGTAGGGAATAAAATTTAGAACAATGAAGTCACTCTGGAAACCAGACTGTGGACCAAGTATTTTGTTTTGTTTCTTTCTCCATGTAAAAATAAGGCCCAGAGAGTGCCCACCCCAACCAAGCTCAGGGCCAGCCTCTCTGAAGCAAGTCACCAACATGTGTCACTGCTCAGGGTGGGAGAACCCCTAGGTTTCTGTCCCTCATTGCCCTTTTCATCTGCTATGCCCTCCCCTGCTGACTTTTAGGCATCTGGGGAAAAAAGAAGCCAGGCTGCCCCTGTCAATTTCTCTCCTCACTTGTGTGAAGGGGGTTTCCCTCTGGGCCTGTAATACCCACAGAGGCCTGAACAGAGAGAGGAATGACAGTGGCCAGGTGCCTCTCTTGGAAGCCAGGCAGAGGCATCTGCTACAGAAACAATGTGAAGAGGTTTTTAATGCTTTTATTTGGAAACTGAGAGCCAACTCCAGCTCTTCCGTGAATTCCCAGTGAGTTTACAACAGCCATGGGGGCAGAGCCAATTTAATCCAGTTTTGTTTTGTTCTGGTCTGTTCGTCTGTTGTTACCCGGTGCAAATCCAAAACCAAAATAGTCGATCAGTTGACCAATGGTCAGCTGCATCCCTCCAAGGCAGGAGCTCCACTGCCCCAGCCAGGGTGAGGATCAGAGTGCTTGTGAAGGAAGGAGGAAGGGGTTCTGAGGACAGCGTGCTTGGCTGAAAGCCCACCTGGCAGGAAGTCCATCTTTCTCTTCAGTAAATTCGCACCATGGGTTCTGCAGACACTTTTGCATTGACCTGTTAATGGAACAAAGCCCTGGGAAACAGGAGGAAAGACAAGAACGTCATCTAACTGGAGTCTTGAAATCTTGGATCTCGGGGTCAGACAACCCATTTGGAGCCTGGGTATGTGAAGCACCAAGAGGCAAAGTACAGACCGGCAGAGGCTCTCAGGTTGCCGGGGCTACTTGCAAATGTTAAAAAAAAAAAGGTATAAAAAGGTATCATAAGAAGACTGTATCTTCTTTCCGTGAACATGGGTTTTCCTGAAACTGAAGGCAGGCTAATGAGGTCTGGAGGGCGCATGTCAGGACAGAGGGCAGACCAGTGTTATTCCAAGAAGCTCTGGGGGCCAGTCTTGGTGGACAGGTAGGGATGGCAGAGTTGGATTCATGAGCCACAGACAAATCTACAATCTAGCTGCTGGTGAGTGGATGAGATGCCACTTCTGCCACCAAAGGTCACTGAGCTTCCCACATGGGACCTAGGGGAGTGGCGGAGATCTCTGTGCCTGGCTGTTGGAACGCACCTGGCGCTGCTGGAGCTGGGTCATCTATCTCCTGCAAGCTCTTAGAAACAATTCTCACACCATCCCTGCCATCTGTATCCAGGAACTCTTGAGATGGTCCCCACCCTGCCACTTCTTAGGGACTGCTTGCCTCCCTAGATCTCTAATATACACCGTCTCACTCTGTCCTGAGTCTAGACAATGTGGGAGGCATTCAAAGGGTGGGTGTGCTTGCTGCCTGACCATGGCCTGCCCCAAATCTCAGAGCTACTTGGTAAATTAAGATCCATGTCATTAAAAGGCCTTAGTGTTTTGGGTTAGAGCAGGAAGCTGGATGCCATGGGCAAGACTTGTTTAAGATGAATCTGCAGACGGGTGACCAGGAACCTCCCTCTCCCACCAGGAGGCAGCAGCCTCCTCCCTGCCTTAGCAGTCCTCCCTCCTAAGGCAGATAGGCAGCCGTGCTCCTCACAAGAAAGAGCGCTTTCAGAAAGAAAAGCTTCCACTGGGGTTGGTCACTGCTTGTGAAAGGCCAAATGCAGAACAATTGTGATTGGCTTGCTAGAAACTTCCTCCTTTGTCCTGAAGCAGTTAATCACCAGGCTGGTCACAGTGGCAGGTACGACAGGATGGGCAGGCATCCAGCCACTCTGGGATCTGGGAGGTCTTGGCATTAAAACCATCTTGTAGCTGAAGATGTCATGACATGGGAAAATGGTCCCAAACTACTAAATGGGAAGAGAGGGCCGTAAAACACTATGTAGAGCAGGGTCCTGATTTGGAAATACACATAAGACAGCCTTGGAAGGATAATAACAAGGTCTTGTGATGACAGGTCTTGTTATTTTGTTCTTTCTGTTTATTTGAATTTTCTATTTTTTTCTACAATAAAAATGCATGGCGTTTACTATAGGATTTTAAAGAAATTACTTTTCTCTCTTAAAAGGGGGAAATGGCCAATATCTGAGCACAGCTTTAAGAATAAGACAAATTCCTTGTCCTGGATGTCACCCAAATGCAGTAACTCTTCACTCAGAATGTTTAATTATGCAAACTGTGTTGCTACCCTTTTCCTTTTATAAGAAAGGGCAAAAAGCCAGAAAAGCTGTGAATGTTGCCGCTTTAGCAAAAATTGGAGAGTGTTTTATTTGAAGCCAGCTTCTGGGGCTTGTCCAGGGCTCACTACAGTCAGCCTGATTGGTCAGGCCCCGCCCTTTGTACAGGTTCTGGCACTGCCCATGCACCACGGCAGGGCTCTGCTGTCCCAAGAACGAGAATGCCCCTGCCAGCTCACAGGGGAGGCAGCAGTGAGGTTTTAGAGACAAAGATCATCCTTCCTAGGAGAGTTTGTGGTAACCAAGGCTGATGTCAAATGGCCTCTTGGTCAACTAGAAAGTTCAGTCCACCCCCACTTTGTCTTCTGGGCTTTCCAGGTAGCCAGTTTGGGACCAGATAAGGAGCAACGAGGAAGAAAAAGCACAGGAGGAAGAGGAGGCCTATGGGGATGGTGCCAGGCACCATCAGTGCAAAGGTGGGGATGGCTGAAGCAGCCCTGCCTGGGGAGTGAGAGCGTCCTCTGGCACTTAGGATGCAGTGGTGGTGGAGGTGGGGGATGGTCTGCAGAAGGCACGACTCACCCCAGCTGAGAAAGCAAGCCGGCATCCTGGAGGAGGAGACTTCTACAGCCTGGGTGACAAAGAGCTGGTGAAACCAAGAACAAGCAGGGAAGGAGCGAGAAGAGGATGTCAGGCAGAGGGACCAGCCTGAGCAAAGACCTAGGGGCAAGAGAGAGGGCGGGACATTCAGAACAGTGGTGAGGGATGAGGCCAGAGGAGGCAGTGTGAAGGCTTTTTATCTACATGGTAATGGGGAGCCAAGTAGGGCGTGAAAGCATGGGAGTCAGATTTCTGTCTTTAGACCAGTCCTCAGGCTACCATGATCTTTCTGCAATGAGAAAGAAAAAGAAAGGGTATGGGAGGCAAGAAATAGTGGCAGAGACCTATCCTCATGGGCTCTGGGAGTCTGTGGGTAGCTCTGAGTCAGGCTCTCAGGTCAGTAGGGAGGTGGGAGACGGCCCCTGCGGGTTTCCTGGTTGCAGTCCTCACCTATGAGCCTGGGTCACTGTGTCTGCACAGTGAAGGTAAAAGCACTTCTCTGCAAGGGGTGTGGAAGCTGCTGGATGGGAAGATAGATAGGTGAGCTGTCTGGAAACAGGCACATTCTATGCCAGACTCAGTCCCTGGGGACCCAGCACACCACAGTCACTGGTGGGCATTTCTGAACTGCTGTTTGATGTTGAGAAGGATGGCCCAGGCCTACCACAGATTAGATATGTGACAAACAACAGGACATTTCAGGTCACAACATTCTCATGACAAAAAAAAAAAGAGTTTCAAGTTTCCAGGAGGCACAATTGGCCAGGACGGAAGCACACTGACCTGGCGCTCATGGGCTCGTCACGGCGTGGTCCCCGCGGATAGCCTGCAGTGACAGCTCATACCCAAGGAACATGGCTGCACTCATGGGGAAGCCCCGCACCGCGTTCACAGTGATGCCTCTGAAAAACACCTTTGCACGGGGGCCCGGTTATTGCAGGGGACTGACCCACACCCTCTGCAGGGCCGCCGAGGAGTGGTAGAGAATGGCTCATGGTGGGCCATTCCACCACCTGGCACACCCGGGCCCTGTTCCCAGACAGAGCCCAAAGGACCTGTGTAGGCAGAGACCACACAGGGAAGTCCCTGTCATGCCCTGCCCTGCCCCATGTCATGTCTGCTAGTGCTTTTCCTTCCAGACCCTGATACACATGCACTAAACACTACAGGCAAGCCGTTGGGCCTGGTAAACACCTACATATGCTTTTTAAATTGCCCTCTCTCTCTTCTTCTCTCACATGTACACACACACAAACACACAAACATGTACACACGCACACAGAGGCATACACATGATCCTCGGGAATCTGGAAACCCTAAGTAGACAGAGTACCCAGCCATGCCTATTCACTGTGGCAGGGGCTTCACAGGACATACCCAAAGTGGTAGAGAACGGAACTCGAGCTGTGCTTAAGACTCTGCAGACATGGGTTGAGGCACAGCTTTTCCGTTGAGTAGCTGTGTTACTTGGGCCAATGGCAAACTCTCTGGAACTCAATTTTCCTAACTGTAAGAGGGGGTTAATAACAGAATTGACCTGATAGGGATGTTAGAAGGACTAAATGAGGTGAGGCTTTTCAAGCACTTGCATGGTGCCTGGCATACAGTAGAAGCATGCCTTAACTGCTGATTACCATCATCCCCCTCCTTATTCTTATCAATGGTCTATCAGCTAAGAGGGATTAGGACTCAATCTCTATCACTAGGATGCATGCTCAGGAAGAATGGCCTGTGCTGATGAGCTGATAACTCTGTCTTTGCTGCTCCATGACACCTATATTTGTCTTCCATCTCTAGAGAGTATTATGTGATGCTTCCCAAACACTGCCCATGATCTTTTTGTCCTGCCTCAAGCTTCTTCCATGGTATTGGGTGTCAGCTCCTAAATGTGATGTGGTTCCAACCCTCAAGCAGTTATAGCCTATTAGTGGAGATAAGCCCCATTCAGGAACAATCAGAACATGACCCAGAAAATGATGAGAGCAGATAAGAGCTTTGGTGAGGGGGACCGTGCAGAGAGAAGCTGGCCTTTAATGCATCCTCTGGGAAAAACAACCATCCAAAAGCAAGTCCCCACACAAATGTAAGTGACTTGAGAACTGTCAGGCACAAATCGAAACCTACTCTCTACTTCGTGTATGATTATCTAAGTTTGAGAAACAGAACTGGTCATTTTTAAAAAGTAGAAACCAGCCCTTTGCACTTCCCCAGCTTCCTCAGTCTCTGGGCACAGTTGGTGCAGGCCTCTGTCACTGGCTAGGATATCAGGTGACCTTCCTTCAGGAGAGGTGCCTGCACCTCACAGTGGCCTCCAGGGTGCAGCGTGGCCCTGGGGAAGGAGCTGATGGACAAGGATCCCTGGGGAGGAACAAGTGGCTCAGCCAAGCCCTCTAGCTGTTTAGCCAGGGTGCAAGCGAGATCCTGGTAACATTAGCACTCTTCTCTAACGTCTGACCTTTCGGAAATTCCACAAGCTCATCCACAGTGACTGAATAACAGCCAGGAACTGGGTCAAACCCTGAGAGGAAAATTCCATGCCCAGTGCCCACAGAGGCTCCCCTGTGGGTCTGGGCTTGGCTCTGCTCTGCAAGGTGGAGGCAGGCAGGACCCAGCTTGGAGTGTGAGCCTTCTGTCCCCCAGCACTGGGCCCTGCAGGCAGGCAGACAGTCCTCCCTCCAGCAGCTGTGACCTGCACTGCTGCAGAGCCCACAGAAGGCAAACCAAGTGCAGACCTGCCAGCTTTTACCCAGAGCTTCCCGAGCATACAGCCTCCAGACTGAGCCCCTCTTCACTCCCACCCTACAAAGCCTCAATGGCTCCCTATGGCCTAAGCTCAGGTACACACCCTTCCCTGGCTTGCAAGGACCCACATGCTCTCCCTTCCACTTTCTCTGGGCAACCTCTCACACCTGATACTCTGGGCAGGTTAACAGCCTGTCATTCCTCTGAAGGGCAAGCCTTCTTCCTCCACTGAGCCTGGTCCCCTCTGCCTGGAATGCTTCCCAGGCCTGGCTTGCAGCCTGGCAGTGTCCCCATGGTCACCTCCAGGTGGATGATAGCCCCTCACCTTCTGTGCACTCAGTGTCTCCCCATCACAGCACTCCTCACACTGTTCTCCAAGTGTCCCTGACTTATCTGTCAGGAAGGACAGACAACAGGGATGAGGGTGGAGTTAGCCATCACAGTCAGGGCAGTGAATGCAGGGCTGTGTGTGTGGTTTGCCTCTGAAGTCCTAGCACCTGCAAGCACTTAGCCCAGAGTAGACCTTTCATAAACACATTAAATGAACCAGTGAATGAATGGATGGATGGATGGATGGATGAATGGATGAGTAAATGAATGAATGAATGAATGAACTTTTGGACATGAAAGAGCCTCTGAACTGAAAGAGTCCTGGTGGCTGCAATTGGGGGGTTCCTAGATTGGGAGGAAGGCTCTGATTCCCCAGGGACAGCACCCCAGGGCAGCTGGCCCTGGTGCCTCCAGAAGCTGTCTGGACAAATGCCCTCTGTCTTTCATCCAGCCTCATCTCACTGCCACAGCCCCTCCACAGCAGCTGCTTCCACTGAGTCAAGAATACCAAGGTGCTTCACCTGCCTGGTCAATTCAGATGACAACTCTCCAACTCAGAGCTAAGGCCCATGTAGCCCAAAGACAACCATCACAGCAGGCAGAGAATGGCTCCAAAACTACCAGGCTTTTCTTCTGTTTCTACTTGGGGATGCCCAGACAAGTCCATGGACTTTTGATTTTCCCCACCACAAAGGCTGCACCACTGATCATCCCTAAGTGGGTTACAAAGAACTACTCAAACTGGTCACCATCATCATAATTAATGCCTTTCTAATTCTTTACTGTCACCAACTTCTTCCACAGGAGAAGTTGGTAAGAACAGGTTGGATGATGATGGGTTTGGGGCTTTGCAATCTGCTTCTGCCAGCCATAGCCAAGAATGCTTGGGGAGGAATGCTCCATATGGCCAGAGCCCAAGCCAGCTGGGAACTGGAGGCATCCCTGGGGCACTGGGGGAATCCTCTCTACCTCCTTCTCCTGCAGCTGCTAGAAAACTGCCTTTGAATGGCTGGGCGCGGTGGCTTATGCCTATAATCCCAGCAATTTGGGAGGCCAAAGTGTGGGGATCACAAGGTCAGGAGATTGAGACCGTCCTGGCCAACATGGTGAAACCCCATCTCTACTAAAAATACAAAAATTAGCCCAGTGTGGTGGTGTGTGCCTGTAATCCCAGCAACTCAGGAGGCTGAGGCAGGAGAATCACTTGAACCTGGGAGGTGGAGGTTGCAGTGAGCCGAGATCATGCTACTGCACTCCAGCCTGGTGACAGAGCTAGACTCTGTCTCAAAAAAAAAAATGCCTTTGAGACAACCTGATTGTTCTAGATGGTGTGGTTATGTTTATGTTACTATTTATGTTCATAAGTAAACACATATATAGGCATACATAGATATATACATACACATATATTGTTGTATACACTGTAAATATTTTTGGAATGTATCACAAGAAACTTTATGGTAATTGCCTTTGAGCAAGGACAGGGACTGCAGGCAGGGCACGGAGACAGTATATCCTCATGTACTTTTGGAAGCTTCCTATGTTCATATGTCACCTATTTTTAACCACTGAATACAAATTTTAAAAAATTAACCTTGAACGGCCTGATCATGCAGTGGTTACTCAAGCTGAGTATTACTATCTTGACTGAAAATCTGTCTCTGATCCAACACTACAGACCAAATGCTATTGAGACGAAGAAACCAATCGTCTGAACTCAGCTGACTTCCAGGACTTCATTTTTCTTCAGAGAGCACAGTTACTTTTGGAGGAAATAATGTCAGCAATATATTTTGCCTCTACAGACTTTTTAAGAATTATGACACATTCATATTTGGGGAAGTAGACAAAAACATCTCAAATAAAAATGAATCATCTATTTGAAACACTTTTATATCTCTCTGCACTCATTGGCTAAATCACAAACTGCACTTCTGTTAAAAACAAAACAAAACAAAGGATACGAAAGACAATCCAGGCTGCACCAGGGCTGGGCTTCACCCTTCTGTCAGAGCAGCTCTTGTTAAATATTTTAAAAAGGAATTTAAAACAATGAGAACAGTGAACCTCTGAGTTTATCCATCCTTAATACATAAAGACAGAAATCAAGTTTCCTCCCTATCACACCTTCTCATACTAACCAGAGTCCCGGGGTCCAGCCTTTCCCCACTTGCTAAGATATCCTGTTCTTCATTCCTGGGCACCACCAGGGTCTTGCTTAATGGGCTGTGACCAAAGGTGGACGCAACAGTCCAGCTGTAATATGGTCAGGCCAGAGGCTTCCACCTCCCTTATCCTACCCACTATACGTGTATGAATGCAGCCTTGGGACAGGTCTCACTGTTGGCTCACTGCCACATTAGCTAATCAGAGCACGGGCTTTTTCTCTTTTGTTTACTGCTCTGTCCCCAGCTCCTAGAACTGTGCCTACCACATACGGGGTTCTCTAAAAATAAGCATTTGAAAACTAAAGCCCTGAAGCGCTTTTCCCTAGGAGCCTTCATCAAATCAGATCGCTCCATCCTCTGCGGAGGTGATTGATCCATTATTGAATACTAAGGGGACTCTGCAGTGACTTCTGGTAGTTCTGTACTTTAGATGTGGCCCTTTGATCTAGCTTTTGGATCTTGTCATTCACCTCAACACTGGGTCATCCCAACTCTGGATCTTCCCCAAGTTGGGGGAGGGCATAAAACAGGACCTCAGGAAACTTGCTGTAAGAAACAGAGGAGAAGGAGGTATAGAAATAGTTGTCACCCATGGTGGTGTGTGAGAAGTGCCTTGAGAGAGGTACAGGAGAAGCAAGACAATGACACGGATTCTGGGGATGGTGGTGGACTGTGCTGGGCCTGGCAAGTCCTGGGGTGGGGCAGCCATGTGAGAAAAGACAGAGCTCCAGGGTAACACTGGCACTAATAAACCAATGCTGAGAATACTAATGCCAGTGAGAAAGAGTTAACTCTTACCTATGGGTTGCATACTGAACGGAAAGCTTTTTGTATTAACCCACAAACACCCTGCCCTTTATGGAAGAGATGATCATTCTGGGAGAACCTGAGGCCCTGAGACATGAAGCTACTTGCTTGGATTCTGCCAGCTCACAGTGGCTACATCTGACTTTGCACCCACATCTGCTGACTCTAAGAGCCACACCAAGAAAGCAAGGAGCCCATGCATGAAAGAGCCAGCAGGATGGTTTCTCCGGAGGGTGAGGCATCTGTTTATAATCTTGGACACCAGACATGGAAGTCTGGTCTGTCCTGGGGTAGCACCTTTTCAGGTGGTGGGAAGGGGTGTGTGTTAGGTTAAGCTTTCGAGCTGTAGGCAGAACAGAGGAGACGAAGCCCAGGGAAGTGGGTCGGAGGCCGCCTCCTCAGCCTTGGCCAGAGGTCTGGGGTTGGAGCTCAGGTGGGAGAGCAGAAGACAGTCCACAGGGCCTGGAGCTGGTAAGTGAGCTGGTTGAGGGCAGGAAGGAGGCGAGGTGGCTCTGGGACTTCCCATGGGGTGGCGGGGTGGGGAAGGCACTGAGCTGTGAGGAAGGACCGCCCAGCCTATCTTGATGAGAAGGTGAACTGTGGTGACAGACAGACAAGGACCAGGCTCCACCATGGACCAGCTGTGTGGCTGGGGGCAGCTTACCAGCCCTCTCTGAGCTCTGTCAGGTCGGCCGTGCACCTACCTCCTCCACTGGCCATATGAAAAGACCACCCCAGTGAAGTGCTTGACGAAGCACCTGCTTGCAGCGCCTCATACATAATCACCACCAGCCCCTAGGTCTCCCGATTCCCTTCTCTATGGTCCTACATCCCCCTAAATGTGTGAGCCACCTTCCAAGGACAGACACTGACCCCGCAAGTCTGCTGTGGGCTTACTTTAAGACCTTCCTTCTGGTAACTCTGGGTGATACAGTCCAGGACACCTTTATATTTGTTTAAATCAACCCCATCAGCTTGAAGTCGACTTTTCACAACATCCATAGGAGTCGCTGTCCCCCAAGAAATTGCTCCTGCAAAGAGAAAGAAAGAAACAGGTGTCAGGGGCTGGCTCCTTAGGATCTGGAGGGGCCGGCAAATGGTAGAAATTCCTTGCAAGTTTCTACCATTCAGAGACTTACTAAGCTGGGAGAAGGGACAGAGCTCAGGCTTAGAACCTGCAAAGTCTGTTTCTGATTCACCCTCGCCACTCACTGTGGGACTTGACAGAAGTTTCTTCCCGTCTCTAAGCCTTGGGCTTCTCATCTGTAAAATGAGGCAGCAGCACCTATCTTTGTGGGGCTGTCTTGAGGACCAAATGAACGGACAAACGTGAAGCATGGAGCACAGTGCCAGTCCACAGCCAGTGCTCGAGATGTGGCAGTCTTATTAGCAGTTTTTATTGGGGAAAGAGTAACAGGCTCCACGGGTACTAGGCAGCACCTTCTCAGGGCACCAGGAGAGAGTCCAGGGCAAGGCATGAGGCTGAAGGTTTGCAGCTCCCTGAAGGCAGAATTTACTCTGAACACAGAGAAGCTCAGCAAACACATGCAGACAGGCTGCTCACCAAGGAAGGGCCAGCCTGGGGATTGCAAAAACAAAGCAGGGAAGGGTTTTTGAAGGCTTGGGATCATATGCCCCTAGGTCATCCTCATGGGATACGCTTAGGTAAACTCTAGAAAAACAATGCCATGTTATTATATAAACACAGCAATTGGCACATTCTTAGATGGGGAGAGAAAACAAATGGATGTTAAAGTCCAGGGCAACTGGTTTGCATGGTTTTGTAATTGCTGCCCAGTAGCTTCCAAAGGAGACCTTAGACTTCCCTGGGCCCTCTGCCTATCCCGGCCTCTGGTCACCTTGGCCTCCTGCCCTTGGTCCTCCAGGAGCCTCTCCAATCTGTGCCTTCTTCCAGGACAATTGGGCTGCCCCAGTACACTCCCTTGTCCCTCAGCCCATGGATAAGGGCATCACAAAATGAGATTTTCCTGCCAGGCCATTCACACCTGTTTTCCCCAAAAGTGAGAGCAGATAGGGACTTGCTGTCCTCTCTGCCAGTTGATACTGACAGAGGTCTTCCTAGGAGCTGGGTATGAGCACAGGCACCAGGGGGCCAGAAGGGGAAACTGTAGTGAGGTGGAGAAGACGTGAGCTTTGATATGAGTTTGCTATGGGCTGACAGCGTTGCAAACTGTGACGATGAGGAGGAGAAAGAGGAAGAAGAGGAGGAGGAGGAAGAGGAGGAGGACTTATGATTTTCTCTCCATTAGATCTTTCCCATCCCATCAAACATGCTCTGATATCAGCCTTCTTAAATAGCATCTTCTCTTGGCTTCCATAGGCCCCTCTGGCTAGAGCTCTGTTTCTCTGTTCCTCATTACAGCATAGCAGAACCCTCAGAAGTGTTGTGTATATTTCGGTGCACCAATATCCTTCATCCCATTCTCTCTTGATGCCTCTCCATCAGGTTTTTACACCCTTCTCTCTATCAAATGGCCCTTGCCAAAGTCCCCAGTAGCCTTCACATTGTTAAATTCAGGTGGTGCAAGCAGCAGGTACAAGGACCCTGTGGTTGGGGAAGGGCCAGGCATGGTCAAGTCGCAGCAGAGATCAGTGTGGCTGGAGAGAGTGAGGAAGGGGAGAGGAGTAGAAGTGAGGTGGGTGAGAAACAGGGAGCCAAGTCACTGAGGGCCTAGAAAACCATTGCAAAGATGTCAACTTTTACCTTAAATGAAAGAGGGATGTGGTGCAGGATTCTGAGCAGGGAGGTTAAGCAACCAGTCCGTGGTCACAAAATGATGAAGTGTGGATTTGAACTTAAAGCTTTCTGGCTGCAGAGTCTCTGATATACGTCAGCACCAGCTGTATGACGTGGGATTGGCTACTTAACACCTCTGGACCTGAGTTTTCTCATCTGTGAAATGGGGAGACTAATTCCTACCTTGTAGAACTATGCTTACGTTACAAAGGTTGCAGCATGCCAGCATTCAATACACTGAACCATGATCATGGATTTCCTTTCCAAACCTTAGCAATGCCTGACACAGAGTATGTGTTCAAAATATATCTATTGCCTGAAAGTCAAACGAGCTCAAATGGGAACTGCCATTCTCATAGCTACATGGGCAGAGGAGGAGAAGGAGGTGGGAGAAGGCCTGAGACAGAGTAGGTGCCTAGCAAAGAACTGTTGGGTGAGTCCCTGGATGTGTCCTGCCCTCCCCCTAGGCTGAAAGGGCATGGCCAGCTCCCCAGCTGTCCCATTGCAGTGGCTGGCACAGGGGTGCAGCTCCAGCTGCTGCTGCCCTTACCTGCCACACCGCCTGCCAGCCACACGGCACAGGGGCTGGGGCCTGCACAGGCCTCGGGTGTGATCCACTCACTCAGGAACACGTAGGGGATGAAGTAGAGGCAATAGCCCGGGACGTCCCTCAGCAGCATGGCACTGGCCCCCCGGTACAGCCCCACCAGGCCCTCATTCCTCACGATGGTTGCAATGCAGTGCACGGGCCCCTGGTACACTGGCTGCTCCCCAAGAGCGACTGCACTGGACTTCAAACCGAGGTTGGCTGCAAAGACAGGGAAGAGAAGATGGCAAGGGGTAAGAGACTGGACATTCCCTGGCACTGGAGCTGCCCAGCCCTCCGACAGTTCCCTCTCATGTAGCACATTGGCTTTCACCAAATCTTTTGAACTTCTTGGCAGCTGAAACCAGGGTACTGAGGTCCCAACAAGAGCCTCTGCCAACATACACAACCAGACTGGAGACAATCTCAGCCACGTGATAGAGCCCCAGTTACGTTAGGCCAACATTACTACTTCCTTCTAAGCAGATGTGACTACAGAATGCCAAGAATCAGTTATGACATGCACACCAAATTCTTTTTTGAAGTTAGAAAATCCAACATGCTCTGTGTGTGTGTGTGTGTGTGTGTGTGTGTGTGTGTGTCTGTGTACATACTTACTTATGCACAGTGTGGTGGGGCAAAAATGTACATGAGATTTGGAGGCAGACTGCCCTGGCTGCAAATCCTAGCTCTACCACTTATTAAAAATAATTTATAAATTATGTATAAAATTCAAAATCTATAATTTAATATTTATAATTTTATTAAAATTATTTGGAAATAATTCGAAATTTACCTTGGCAGGTCAGCATTTTCAACCCATTTCCTTATCGTTGAAACAGGGATAGGTTGTCCTGAGTACAAACGAAGTAACACATGTGCAGTGTTCGGCACGGTGCCTTGAACGTTGTAGGGGCTCAATAAGTTATCAACGGAGACCAAGGTTGCTGACATGAATTGGTGGCAGGACCCACAAGCTGGAGGGCTGGGTATATTGTCACTGACTCACTCCAGCCCTGGCCAGGCTGTGACCCAAACAGTTGTAGGGCAGCACTGGGGCTCTTGGCCCCTGAAAGTCCTGGGACCCAGGGCTGCTATCTTCCTGTCTAACCTCAGAGGTCTATGCTGGCAGATCAGGGGTTACCCATGTCTCCAGCAAAGACTCTGCGTCTCTCTCATTTGCTGCCCATCTCCCTCTCTGATGCTTGTCTTCTCTGCTATGGATCCTTCTCTGCTCTGAGGCTTTGACTCATGGCCAGACAGACCTTGCAGACCCAGTACAGATAATGTAGGCTCTTGTTCTTGACTTTCCCTTCTCCAGGAAGGAACATAATGTGATATGACCAGGAAAGAATAGAGTAAGTGTGTCTGTGACCACAAGCCTATTTTGCTGCCTGAGTTTAATCCCCTGTACAGTGTTCCAGTTTGGCTTTACACATGCTGGCAAACAGGCAGACAGCTTTCATTATTTAGGTCAACATCCAAGTCCCCCCAAACAGTCTATCTTTATCAGAGGAAAAGTTAGGAGCATTCAGCTTCATGACCCCACAGTCTAGAGACTGAAGAATGAACTGCAATCTGTACTTTAACTCGACCCAGAAGCAGGTGAGATAGAGGGGGAGGTTTCTGTGTGCCTGGAAAGTGTGCTTGAACAAAGTCAGGCTGTATTTTCCATCTGCGAGGAGGGAAGGGAGTAAATTCCTGTTATCTGTATTAGGCCAACTTTAGTGTGGGCAGGATATGGAGCCAACTTCTTCCACAGTGGATCCCCTAGGTGGTGAGCTAGGGTGGTGGCCACCTTGAGGGAAACAAGGCCCCTCTGAGCAAGATCAGACATGATGGCCTTTGAAAGCACACTGAGAGATCAGTAGGCACCCCTTCCCCTTCCAAACCCACGGTGCTACTGCCTGGGTCATCTGGAGAAATTTTGCCATTAGGCAGAATATATGTCATTGTCCCAATGTATAAACTTTACCGGAACTGCTTTCATCTCTAAGTAACACTGACTTTATCCAGGAGTCAAGGTTTTCATGAATCAACTACGGGTAAATAGTGGCTTTCAGGAGTTACTGATTGAAAGAGAGGATGTTGATAACAGTCTGCTTGTTTGAAAGTACAGATGTTGGGAAAACACTCACCAAACCCCAACAGGCCTTGTCAACAAAAATCCTGTCCTTTTTCCTTTTCTCTGCAGAATAAGAAAGAAGGAAATTCTCTCTCATTCTCCCAGGATTGCCACATAAGCAATATAGCTTTTATTGCTTTAGAATTACCCATTTATGACTTTTAGTGCAGCATAATTACCACAGTGACTCCTGTCATGAGGATACTGACACAGCTCCAAACTGACCCAAGTTTATACTATGAAGCTCTTGGAATTCTATCTCCCTCATTATCAATTTTTTTTTGAAAACACTTTTTATTTCGAGATAATTCCAAATTTGCAAAATAAGTGTAACAGGCAAAATAGTATAAAGAATGTGGCCCATATGTACCATGTACTCAGATGTATCTATTGCTAACCTTTAGCTCATTTGCTTGTTCGTGCATTCTCTCTCCCTCTCTCTTCACCTCCCGCCCTTCTCACTCAGTCGTGTGTGTTCAATTTAACTGAATCGATGTACTTGTCCCAGTGTTTAAACTTTGCCTGAGCCCCATTCATTTCCAGGTAACAGTGACCTAACCAGGAGTCAAGGTTTTCATGAATCAGCTACGGGTATGATGTGGCTTTCAGGAGTTACTGATTGAAAGAAGGGGTCCTGAGGGCAATGGGTTTGTTTGGAGGTGCAGCTGTTGGAAAAACACCTGTCAAACCTTGAACTCACTTTGGCAGTAAGACTCAAGCAAGAACCAAACCTATCCTTTTCCTTCTTTTCTTCCCAAGGTAAACAACAGGGAATTTGTGTGCATGTGTGTGTATACATACACATGCATTTTTACACATTCATACATAACTTTATTTTCTAAACTATTTCTGGGTGAGTTACATGTTCATGGATCTTTACCGCTAAATATGTTGAAACGCATTTCCTAAGAATGGGGATATTGTCTTACATAGCTGTAGCACAGTCACCAGCTTCATATAGCTACACTGACAATACTTTAATATACCATCTATAATCAAATTATCATTTGACCTTCATGATGCCCTTTACAGCATTTGCCCTTTGCAACCTTTCTTTGTTTCTTGTGACGCTGACATTTTTTAATAGTATACGAACCCTTTGCTTGTTAATAGAGCTTTCCTGATTCGGGGTTTGTCTGACATTTCCTTATTACACTGTGGTAAGGACCTCCTCCCCATTCTTAAGTCTCACTCTCAAGAGACCCTGTTCTCCTCCTCTGGCATCTTATTCTTGTTTTTATCAGTTTGTTTTTTAATTGAGGTATACTTTGTATTCAATAAAAGGTAAAGCTCTCAAGTGCACGACTGATGAGTTTTTACAATTGCATTCACCGGTGTCACCATACGCTAGAGTGGAAGTGACTTCTTATACTTGAAATAAACTGTTTTGTTCACAGCCCAGTTAGGGAGAGAAGAGTTTCCACAGCCTATCCATCCTCTCCTGATTTTCAAAATACAAGAACTCTGTGATATCATGAGATTCACTCATTGGGAAGCAACCTTTCTCTGGGGCAGTGGTTGTAACTTACAAGTCCATCAGCACTAGCACTAGCAATAGCGGGATGTCTGATTCCCATTGGGTCCACAGAACAGAATGTCATCATAGGTAGTTACTATAGTTTTAAACATAAATATACCTGAGATAAAAATGCATCATACCACCTACATTGGTGAGACCCAAAGTCACACAAACCTAACATGATGATGCACTTACAGTAATACCGATTTTCAATTCAACAGCAATAGTAGGAGCTGTGGAAAACTATGACCAATGCAAGATAGCCCTACTGATGAATAAACAGAAGAGCCTTCTTCTGGAAAACAGCAGAAATCTCTACCAGCCGCCCATGCAGTGCTAGGTGCTCTCTCTAGCTTGTTGGGGTGGTGGAGCCAGGGGCTGCCGGGAGCCTTGACAGACAGCCTCGGGAAAACACTGCATCAGAGTTCTTGGTAACTACATCGGGGACCAATTTTAGTTTGTGAAAACCAAATGTTGATGACTCTTAAAAACTGATTTGGAAAGTTACTAGAAAGTCAATCTTGGAAGTATGAACAACTGAGATCTGTGAACTTGTATGTCCTTTGTCCAAGGAACCTGAGGAAGACTACAAGGTGCCGGATGAGGACTCAGCATCTACTCACAGGGAACCGCCAGCTCCCAACCCATGGTCCCTGCACCTTCGGGGTGCACATGTCTATGTAAAAGGATTGGCATTAGGTATATTTTCTTCTCAAGTGAAATGTGCTTAATTTCTCTAATTAGAATTTTTTATTCTGTAATGAGGATAAAATATTAATCAAATTTGGATGTTTTTTAATCATGAGTGCTTTGCATGTGAGACCGTCTTGTGCTGCCTGTTTAGATCCAGGGCATACTACCTTTTATTAGGATAGATATGGATTGTGTACCTCAAAAACTCAGGATGCGTGTGGTTTCCTTTGTTTTCCCAACTTCAATTAAGGCCATGTCAGGCCCCCTGCACCTATGTAACCAAGGCTAGCAAGATGTTCAAAGTCAATGAAAATAGCAACCCTCTGCCCCAAGAAGTAGAGGAGGGCCCAGGCCTCCCACCGTGCCCAGCTCAGTCCTGGCCAGCACACCTAAACCCACAGGCTGTGGCTATCTAGCTCTGCAGCTCTCTGTGAAGTGCTAGTGCTTTGCTGCTGGTCTCCGGCTTGGCCTGGGAGGCCCCTTAGAAGGTAGACGTCTCTGCAGGGAGTTTGATTTTTGGGAGGATTGTAGGTCCAGATTTGGGCAATCCTAAGAGGTAACAACGCAGCCACCTCTTAGGGGACATTCAACTTCAAAAGGGCTGAGCTGAGCTGGACACAGACTGGAGATACCAGTTGCCACTATTGCCCCTCTTCTAGAACCCAGGGACCCAGCTACAGGACATCACTGTGTTTTCCTCAGACACCGACACAAAGATGTTCCATTTCTTCCCCTTTCTCAGTCAATGCTATTCAATGTCTTCAATGGGCCATGACCTTGGAAACAATAAGGCCAGCAGGAACACAATGGCCAGCCACTGAGGGGAGCAGGGCTGGCTCTCAGGAGCAGAGAAGCACTTTCTCTGGAAGGGAAAGTGCTCCCGGC